ATAGAAATATTTGGTAATCAATATTTTTTGGAGATTTGATTAGTTTTTGTATATTTGCCTAAAAAGACGTGTAAAAATTAATGTAAAATTGTACAAATTCCAGTAAATGAAAATCAATTGTGTTCGAAGAAAAATGAAATATTAATTAAATTGATTCGATTAAGAATGTTCTTAAATTAGATTAAGAAAACATTGAATTCGATGTAAAAAAAAAACTTGATTTCAATTGAAAATCTTCGAAATTACTCTCATTTTCAATATTTAAAACTTATTTCAATTTCAAAAATCGTATCTGATTTGTCATATGTTTCGATACATTAATTATTTTCGAATTTTGAAATCGAAATTATTTCGAATCCTATTGATTTTCATTTACCGAAAAAATGCAAATTTTATTTTTCCTGTGATTAATTACTTACTTCATGTACTTCTCTCGAGTACGAAACTCCATTAGAAACATCAAATAAATAATTTTTAGCAAAGTCGATTGGATTCCACTGGTGGTTTGAAGACGCATTCCCCTTTCGCATTTTTTTGTAGTCATCGCCATAATTTCTTGGTTTTCGGCGACTTCCATAGAATCTGTATGCTGCCTCTTTACGGTGCTTGCTTTTGTTGTTTGTGAGGACTATGGAGAAAAAAAATTTTGTTGAGTTGGCGAGTAAATTGGACTATCTGGATCTGAAGTGTCGAGCGAATTTGGTTCCATGTTAGGGACTTCTGGTTCTTTGTTATTGACTTCTAGAGCCGTTTCAGTTATATCTGACAACACTCTCGATCTTGTCTTCATCTGTAAAAAATTTCAAAACATTATGTTTTATTAAAAGAAAAAAGCGAGCGATAATAAAAAATATGTTAAAGTAAATAAAAATAAAACGGATTCGATGAGAAATTAAACACAATTCGATTGAGAAAATATTTAAATTCGATTTTAAAAGTGTCGGAAACGATTTGAAAACATCGTATCGATTTTAAAATTTTCGAATGCTATCAATTTATTTTTGGTTTCGATTTTGATGATAAACATGAAAATTTTTCCTTTATTTTTTAAAAACATTTTTCCTTTAATTTTGAAAAAAATTCTTTAATTTTTGACAAAAAAAAACACAAAAAATCTTGAAAATTCATTGAGAAAAAGCAAAAGGACAAAAATTTTGAAAACGAATTTCGAAAATTCTGAGGCGTGGCAGAATTGTGCAATGCGGCGCACTGTTTCGCAATGCTGCGGCACATCTCATGATTTCTCGAGTATAATACACTGCAACTAGGAAATTTCCATTAATGGACAGAAAATGAATAACTGATTAAAAATAGATACTTCTACAGTGTATTAACTGGTTCATTTTCATCATTAAATATTTAAAACCTTTATTAAATATTTTAATTATGCACAAGAGCGCCATTTGCAGCAACAATCAAAATTCCATTATGCGTAGGAATATAGCATGCACAATGCCTTATACAATCAATAGAAATAATTAACCGAATTCCTGTGAGCTCGCCGTTTTTCACGCCTTTGTATTCTTTTAACATTTTCAATATTTCATTTCCATAATAATAGTCCGTGTCATGTAGATCATTAATTGATTTCGCGAGAGAAGCGAACTGCGATCCTGGTTCAACTTCTTTTATTAGTTCAACAACCACTTCAGCACAGTTCGAATGGTATACAACAGCAATAAATCGGAAAACCTCTAAATTGTTATTGTAAACAGCGAACATCACGTCATCCACAGTTTCATCATCAAGGTATGCCGATTTGAATTTTCCGCAAGCCATATGTAATGTTCCGTAATAAATGGCGTTCTCGTCGGCAATTATTACGTCCTCATTTTTAATTCGCTTTATTTCGTTACTCCATCTTGTCGCACTTGGCAACATTTCCGGAGTTGCTTGCAAAAATTTCTTCAGAGACATGGAAACTGTATCTTGAGCTGCTCGTTGCCTTACTTCTCGTCTTAGCGCTTTTTGCAACATGAATCTGAAGATGTCTTTGCTTTGCTTTTCTCGATTGTATTTATCATTTTTATTTACCTCGAAGATGCCGTTTCCAAGAAATTTCGAGAAAATCGACTCTTGTAGCCTTTCAAAATAAATTGATAGGCGCTTTCGAAACTGAAAGTCGATAGCGTCGCTGTGTTTCCAAATTTGTCAACAATTTGCGGCAAGTGAAATAAAAATTCCTTTGAAAAACTATTTTTACAATTGTTAAATTTTTATCTTACATGAGCTTTACAAGTCATATATTCTTCGTTGGCTTCGATTAAGAACCACCTTGCTGCAGCGCACAGCTGCACAAAAATATTTCGCAACTCTCGCAATTCGAGTACAAAGAATTTGCAATTGTTGCAATGGCAACAATCACCAACCGTCCTTTTGTTGGCAGATTCGGCGAACATAAAGCGGCGAGGAAAAGTTGAATTCGGAAAAACTAAAACCAATAAATTAGGCGTATCTTATATATTTATAATATTTGGCTCACGTGAAGCTTGTCGCTACCGTTTCGACAATCCTTGATTTTAGAATACTTCGAGGATAGAACAACTTCGGAAAGCAGTTCCTCGAGAGTGGTGTTAGAAGCATTTGGATGAAATAGATCTGATTTGAAGCGTTTCGCAGTCCGAAGGACTTCTAGAAATAGCGTCTAATAATAAAAAATTAATAGAATACCTTTTGTAATGATTTCACATAAACCTTCTCCCAAATCATGAAGGATATCTATAGGCGTTTCATATGGCATGATGATCTCTATGATGCCTGCGGCAGTGTTTCCAAATCCATTTTCGTGTTGTAAACTGTCTAAAACAGTAAGCATATCTCCACGAGTAACACTTCGAACTGTTTAAATAACTATTAAGTTTCGATTACGATTATTAACCTACGTGGTCCAGCCTGCTTGTAGTATGTTCCGGTAGCCATGCAATAGAAACAAGACTGGCTCGAGTGATGTGACTTAAAACCGAAAAGGGCTCTTTTTGCCTATAAATGCATGGATAGAAGTAGACTCAAGGAACTTATGTTTACAGGTTGGTCTGCTACTACTGTTACAAATTTAAAAGAAATATTCACTCCTCTCACTGTTCCAAGTGATCCGATGCAGTCCGACTTGAGAGCTGGTAATATAGCGTTCCAGAAAATCGTGCTGGGGTCCATATCACTCTCTGCAACTCCTTCGAGGAGAACATTAGTCGACTTCTGCATTTCCCCGGTTGGCAAATCAACAAGGATGCAAGAAATGGGCCACAGTTTCCTCAAATCGTTTTATTTGAAAATGTGTAATTTTACCATTATATCACTTTCTGCTTCCTGGAACGCAGACACCATCTAGCGACAATACGCCAGATAGCTTCAGCTCTTTCCCTTCCTCTTCTGATTCCCAAAATTTTCTAAAGAACTTGCTTGCCAAGTTGTGGTCTCTCTCTTTTCCCTGTCGAATACTGGAACGAATAGCGATGATTTTTTCGAAATATTCGTTGATCAACTGATGCAATTGTGACTGAATTCCCAAACGCACGAACTTCACAATTGAACCGCAACTAGAAACATACAATTGTGGTAATTTGGAGTTTCGGATAGTGCTGCTATAGTTGACGGTGTGCGAATTTGGAGATGGCATTACTTAATTTTTTGAATTTTTTGCGGGACCAATTAAATAGTAGTCCGCGCAGATTTCTAACATTCTTCTTTCCACAAAAATACAAAAACACGCTTTCAAAATAACAAACCATTTCTCATTATTTAGCCGTTTAGCACCGCAACCATTGCAATAATAGTGAATCAAATGTTTGTTTTTCTCCGTGCTCCACAATTTTTCAACATATTCAGCCATGTCTTCGTCCATTACTGATATGAATCGATTGAATTCTTTAAAAAAACTATTATGAAATTGGTATAAATAACATAACCACTCTCCGATAATCTTGACATGCATACTGCACATAGAAATTGAATAACTTTATCTGGAGCCGAACGAAGATCTCTGACTATTCCTGTAGAATAAATTATCCTCGATTAATTTACTTTCCCAACTAGAAAACAATTCTTGTTCTTCCTCGCTATCTGTATCCATATGGATATCGGCATCATAAAGGTTCATCGTCTCCTCAGCGCGCACGCTTATTTCGTTAACATTATTATTTTGACTTCTTTTGTCATCAACGTGTTCACCATCTATAAGTTAAATCCAATTAGTTGGGACTATTATAATTACTAACATGACTTTTGTGCAACACTATTGAAGTGGCGATGAATACTTTTTGGCATTATCTGAACATAATTAACGCCTTGAAAAATAATGCGAAGCAAAGATAAATCTTAAGGAAACAAAATAAACCAATGTGCTTTAAATGTGGTTAGTCATAGCTAAAATCATAATGATACACAAAACAAAATAAAAACGGTGACATGCGCAAATGTTGAGTTTCTTCCGCAACTGAAAGAATTTCTCGACTCGGCTTAACCCAAATGACGTAATTTAAACACACAATCGCGTTGGCATATTAACATTAAAATGAAAACCAATCATTTTTTATCATTTCAAACATATATATATCGGGGAAGCGTCTTTCTCTTGGTCTCCCACGGACTTCGAAAAACGAATTTCGAAAATTGTGAGGCGTGGCCGCATTGTGCAAAGCGGCGCACGGTTTTGCAATGCTGCGGCACGCCTCTTCTACGCGCGTTCCACGGCTCGTAAACACCGGAAGCATATTCATCCCGTTTTCATTCCATCCATATTCGTCCCATAATTCTTCCACAGCCACTAAGAATTACATTATGCTTCCTATATGGAAGCATTATGCTTCCGTTCCACAGATTTCCCACAATGCTTCCATTATGCTTGCGTCGCGCTTAATCAGTGTAGCTCAGTTGGTAGAGCGTGAGACTTTTAATCTTAAGGTCAGGGGTTCGAGTCCCCTAGGTGGCTTGATTTTTTGCAGATTCTCAAAAAGCTGGGATCGGGCGGTTTCGGCGCCGTTTATCATGTTCGTAAAGGAGACATGGAAGCTGCCTTGAAAACCGAATTTGTTACCGATGACTCCGATCAAACGTTGCGAAACGAAGTGCATATGCTTCGCATAATGCAATGGTCCAAAAGTTATTGCAAATTGTATTCGGCTCGGAGGGTATCCGACAGTTATCCGAAAAGAGAAAAAAATCAAATAAATTTTTAGTTGGACTGGGGTGGGCAAAAAGTGAACATCATGGTAATGAGCTTGTGTGATCGTCCAATTTCAAGGTGAAAAAAAATGAGAAAAAAGAGAATGTAATGTTTTTTTTTTAATAGACTTCGCCGAATGATGCCAAAAAGAAAATTCACGAAAAGCACGGCGGCGAGGCTTTCCTATCAATTTCTGGAGGTTTTTATTTCTCGATGAAAAAACTTGGACAAAATAAAATGTAGGCGATTCGCGATATTCACATGTGCGGAATTCTTCATCGCGACGTCAAAGCGAGCAATTGCGGCTGGCACGAGCCATCGCGTCGATTGTTGCTCTTCGATCTCGGTTTTTGTCGAAAATATGTAAAAAAAAAGAGAAAGAGAAGAAATGATAAATTGTTTTCAATTTTCGAGCAAATTTTCAGCTTGAACGAGACCCGCAAACGAAAAAATTGCGTCTGCGAACCGCGCGAAAATCGGCTGGATTTTTGGGCACCAGCAAATATTGCAGGTCTCATCGAAGAAATTCATTTGCCATTCTCATTCGCACTCGCATTTTCAGCGTTTTTGTTCACGACGAAATGGACCAGGGCCGTCGCGATGATTTGTGGGCGTGGCTCTACGCGATTTCCGAGTTCTTCTTGGTAAAAACGCGATGCTCCTTTAAACTCAACGGCAAGCTTAATTCCGTTTTCAGGGCGATTTGCCATGGTCGAACGAGGACAACACGCATTTAGTGAGTCGTCGAAAACACAAAATTGGCTCTTCGATTTTTCTCAAATGCCCCAGAGAGATTCTTCCGATGTATGACCATATTCGGTATACTCAAATTCAACTTTTGCCTATTCATTTTTATGAGGTCCACGTGAATTTCTTTTTTTTGGTTTTAGTCAATTGAAATTCGAGTCTCGTCCCGATTATGAGATGATGTTCAAGAAATTCGCGCAAATGTTCGCGCGGCTCGAAATCGACGAATTCGATTTGTACGATTTCGAGCAAGGCTCGCCGTATTATGAGAAATGCTATCGGGATCGCAAAACGGATTCGGAAACCGAGATGACGTCGGAAGGCGTCGAGACGAAGCTTAGTCGTGGTATGTGATGGCCAAGAAATTCAGCGAGATCAAAATCAATCGGATTCGAAAATAATTTCGTTTTCAATCGAAATCCGTTTCGAATTATTCCAGAATTTCAAAATTGAAAAATGAGAAACAAAAGGTTTTTGAATCGAATCCAAATTTTCAAAAAGGTTTGAGATTCTTTGAAAAACTAACGTCTCTCTATAATTATTTCGAATTTTTGAAATTATTGAAAGATTTAAGAACTTATTGAGATAATTTCGAATTCGCTCAATAAATTTTAGAAAATCTTGAAGATTCTAAAAAGTTTTTTTTTTTAATTTTAGCGATTCTATAAGTTTTCGAAAGCATCAATAAATTAGAATTCCTCATATTTTTCTAGAATTTATTATTGAATATTTGATTCTCAAAATATTTGATTTGATTTGCCTTCTTAATCGAATTTCAATTGTTTTTCAAACGAAACGGGTCAATTTATATTTCATTTTTTTCGAATCCGGTTGATTTGTGTCTGCGTCTCTTACTTATACATTCTATTTCATCCGATTACACTTTTTTTAAATTTCTGACCACATCGCTCTCCAAACACGCGGAAAATTTCATAATTTTAATTTTGTGGAAGTTAATTTAAAAAATACTTTGTTTTTTTAATTTAATCAAACTATGCAGATTTTGCAAAAAAAATTACAAAAACCTCGGCCGCGGCCACGGTTTTCAAAATCTACAGTACCACAGGTTTTCATTAAATCGCTGCAAGAATCATGAAATTTCATCGACGATTTTCTTTGCAAAATCTGCATAGTGATTATTAGGGTTCTTATAGAGATTTTTTTGCAAAAATCGACATGGTACCAAATATGGGCATTTCGTTTTCAGTGGTTGATGTCGATGAGGCTCCGGATTTGCTGTCGTGCGGCTCATTGGTGACACTGAATACGACGAAGTCTGAGAGCAGCGTCGGTCTCGGCACGAGGTAATATTGGCACAAACTCGAATAATTGTCGATGAACGAAAATTGTAAGGAGTTCAGACTGGCCACTGGCTTGAATCGCGCATTCAAAAAAGTGTGGAATTTCCGCAAAGTGAGTCGATTTTCGAAATGTGTCCGATTAAGCCAAATAAGGTGATCATATGAGTAATTGCAGAACTCGAAAAAGGGCAACAAGGCTCGAAAATCCTAAACTCTTTCTTCTTCTTTTTTTTTTTTGAATTTCTTTTTTTTTTCGCGTCGCGTAAAATTTTTGCCGAATAAAATGAGCATTTCTACATTCCATTTTTACAATTAACTGCTGTTTTCATCAGAAGTTGAATTAATTGAGGTTGTTGGTTGAATGCATTTGAATTTGGCGCCGTCGCACATTTAGACAAAAAGATGTCGGCTGAAAACCAAAACACAAAGAGCGGCGAGCAATTGGAGGGAGCTGTCGGCGCGGTGGTGGCGCCGAAGGTCCCAAAACGGGTATGATTGATTGGAGGTGACATAAGCGGCGGAAAATTCGCACAGAAGACGGACTTCTCCGAGCATTTGACCGATGAGCAACGAAAAGAGTTCAATGTGCAATCATTTATCACAAGGCATTTGCGAGCTGGATCGAAAGCTCAAAAATATGAGGTATTGAGCCACCAGGGCGGTGCGGCAACGGAATTGCCGACGAAACCATCAAGGAATGTCCTTTTGAATTCAATTTTTCGAAAGAAATTGAATAGCCGAAATTTGTATTTTTTGGCAATTTGCCGAATTTCCGCACATCCTGATCTAGACGATCGTCTGAATTCTCATCCTTCAGGTCTTCGAGATTCACGCCTTATTAGAATTGGCGTTGAAGGTTTTTATGAGTGGAAAAGCGCTTATTGAAGTGAGAGCGCCGGTTAATATTTGCGGCGACACTCATGGACAATACTCGGACCTTTTACGGATATTCAATGTGAAAACATACAACTCATTCTTTTTTTTCTCTCAATATCTCTTGGTCCGAACTCTTTTAGGCTTGTGGTCCTCCGACGAAACAACGATATCTGTTTTTGGGCGATTATATCGATCGAGGGCGACATTCATTAGAGGTGATTTGTCTCCTTCTTGCTCTTCGATTGGCACTTCCGAAACGAATGTACCTGCTGAGAGGCAATCACGAGCTACGGGCGATCAATAAGTTTGCGCCATTTCTTTCTCCAACACACACACCCAAAACGTCATGATTTAGAAATTATGGATTTTACGCGGAGCTTCAAAATCGATTCCGGAGCTCTGGCGGAGAGCACACGGCACTCTACGAGCATTTCAATTTGGTTTTTAGTTATATGCCGCTGGCGGCGATTGTTGCGAGACGGATATTGTGCATGCACGGCGGAATTTCGCCGCATTTGCAATCGTTGGATGATATTCGAAACATCGAATTGCCGCTCGAAGCTGCCAAACAGCATGTGAGTCGCAAATATGGAATTAATATAGTTCGAAATGAACAAAATCAAGGGAGATTTGTAAATTTAATTAGTTGCGCGTCAGATATAACGCAATGTACGTACTGCGTACTTGCATCATATTCGACGATAACAACATTTTCATTATTTTTTTTGCAACAGTTTTCCTCGATTTGAATTGAATTTTTCCAGCCACTCGCGTGTGATCTTTTATGGGCCGATCCGGAAAAAGGTTGTCCGGGATTCGAAGCGAACAAAATTCGCGCAATTTCGCATATTTTCGGTGAGGTCGAAGTCGAAAATCTTTGCAAAAAGCTTGACATTGATTTGATTGTTCGCGCGCATCAGGTATTTTCAATTATTTTCCCAATATCGTCTTCAATTCGTTGGAGGTCGTCGAGTACGGCTACGCATTCTTCGCCGATCGTCGATTGATTACGGTATTCTCTGCTTCGAGATATCAGGAGGAACTTCATAATTATGCCGCCGTTGTGGTCGTCGATTCGAGTTTGGAGCTCAGTTTTGTGCAGTTGAAACCCGAGGAGTTTGAGAAGCGACGAGAAGAAAATGAGAAGGTTTCCGCCAAGGCTGTGCGGCAATCGGAAATTTCGGCAAATTGCCGAAAATCAAAATTTCGGCTATTAAATGTTTTCAACGATAATTCGAAATATAAATACCGAATTTTGACGGTATCCCAAATTATTCAATGGATATTGATTATTGTTTCGCCGATTTTTTTAAATATAAAATTGCCGAAAATATAAATTCGGCAATTTCGGTAATCGGCAATTCCATTGCCGCACAGCCCTGGTTTTCGCAAATGATTCAGACAATCCCAAACAAAACAAAAGTCATTTTTTTTTTGTTTAGAACGGAGCCGATCAAGAGCAGACCACCGCCAATATTATGGACTTAGAAGAAGCGAAAAAGAAAGCTCCGAAATAAAATTTCTCTAATTAGTTGTCTGTCGATTGATACAGCTATCAGTTTTACGTGGTCCCCGACTCGGGACCCCACTGGCAGCTCAGTTGGGCCTAATAAGCCCAATGTGGACCCCCATTGGTGGTAAAAACTTTTTTTTATTAATAAAATGACTTGTTTACGCAAGGCCAGTCGCTTGCGAATTAGCTTTAAACACACTTTCCATGCAAGCGCGAAAAACAATCTGAAAAACCGTGTGATATTTAGAATTATGATACATCAACGAGCGATACCTTGATGTTTTCGGTGTTCGTCGCCGTTGTCAGGTGCGGAAAAATCGATCGGCGAGTTTTGACCGACTTAAGAAATTTGTCCTGAATGTACTGAGTGGTTTCTTCGAAATTATTCTCACCTAGAATGTGTCAAATCATTAATAATCGAAATATATGATTGAAAATACCATCAAATTTCGTGAAGCACGTCTTGAGATGGACATGAGGTAGAAGCTCATCGAACAAATCGACTTTGTTGAAAAATATTAAATAGACGGCATTCTGGAGCACTTTGTTCGTGACGACGTCTTGGAATATTTTCATCGCCACTTTCATATCGGGTATTTTGTCGGCGTGATTCCGCCAATCCGAGAATAATGTGAACCGCGCAATCTGAACGCATTGAGATGATTTCGGTTTTGAATCACAAATTGAAATTGGCTACATCGGCGCGGCTCTCTTCGGACTTCTTCGCGTATCCTGTCAAATCGACAACGAACATCACAACTCGGGCATCGTCGAACAAATGCATCCATTTTCGGCGTTCTGAGCGTTGACCACCAACATCGACCATACTAGAAATAGTGTTTATGTGATCACGCCGGTCTTAACACGATGAAAACAAATAGCTAATGTAATCACAACGATCCAATTAGTTAATAATTGCAATTTCCAATTATGAATATAATTGCAGCTAATTCGAGGAATTAAAACACCAGAAAACATTTTTTACGTTTCTCTCTTATACATTTTTAATCTGAAAATTATTTGATTACTTTAGCACACAAAAAACCGGGGTCTCGTGCTTATTTGGTGGATTTGTTCTTGAGAAAAAAAATATGATTCACCAATTAAAAAAATAAACTATAGAAGTATGAAAATTTGAGAATTATTATATAAATTTTCTCGTAAACTGTCTAATTTTTCTTGATGAGTATAGCATTTCCTTGAGTATATCAGTGAATTTAAAAATTAACGAAATGCAAAAAAAAATAATTTTTCTGAATAAAAACGGCTATCAGAAATGGCCACTACAAGGCTATGGTGTCAGGCGCCTCGCATTTCGCATGCGCAAATTTTTTTGGAAATATTTTTTCAGTCAAAAAACTCGAGAAAGAAAAAAGTCGCCGGGAACCGACTATATGATAGCTTCAAGCTATTTCGGTTAATTTTTTCAGAATAAATATTGCCGAAATCGCACGACACCGACAAATTGGCTAAATGGCGGAAATGGTCTTGAGAGTTGTGTACTCCACACGGACAATACACCACTTAGGCGTAAGAATCCCGCCGCGCGTAAATCGACTTGCGTTGCGAGACCCAAAACTACAGTACATCGCGACATCTGCATTCGCGTGACTCTGATAGTGAGCATATTTCGGACGAACTTTCGTGCATTGGAGATCACCAAATTTGAAAATACATTTTTGGTAAAAAAAAATTACGAGGCCGCACGCGAACTGCAGCGCGTCTAACTCCATAAGTATTCTTTCTTTTCTTTCCAGAATGAAATTTTTCAACAAAAAGAAAAACTCACTTTAATTTTAAGCTAGTATAGGTGAAAACAAGATTATTTATAGTAGTTGTCGGCCGTCTTGAATGCACAATATCCTCGAGATTCGGCATATAATCCGCTGTTGAGATTCGCTCGATATTTTCCAGAAAACTTCAAAAAAACAATTTGAATGAATTATCAATTATACATACTATTTTGTCGAATCCATTGTTTCAATTTCATATCGTCTACCAAATACTGTTTGAATCGGTTGAGATTTCCAGAATTTTTTAAGCATTTCGCCGAGTTTTTGGCTCATTCGACCCTCGGCACTATATTGATAGCTATCCGCGTCTAATTGTGCATACGTTTCATTAATACTGATTATGAGCTCCTGAATGTCGAAACTCATTCATTTTTAAAAAATTTTCAATCGGAATATTGCTAATACCTGAATTGAATCTATACACACGCTTAAGTGATTAGCACCATTGACAAGTTGCGTGAAAATACTTCGAATGTTGCAAAAAATTAATGATTTGAACGATTCTAATTCGTCAGGCCGTGTGAAACCATTGCTATGAATTATTCTGAAAATTTGAGGGTGAAAAACAAAATAAAAAGAAACTACGTAAAAAAGATATTTTAAGATATTTACTCAATGATTAAAAAAAAGGCGAAGGACAGTTAAACAGTGCACGGGAGTTCCCAAAAACTTGCGCTGTTCGTCACAAAACTTTTTTACGCTGCCAGTACGACACTCCAATTACACATCGCCCTCAGTTTAGCGTGTCGTGGGCGACTTTTGCTTCGACTAATTTGTCCCAAAATGATTTTTTTATTTTTCATTCGTATCAAATAATATTGAATCTTTTTTCATTTTTTTATTATTCCATTTCTTATGGACCTATTCGTGAAATAAAAAATTACCTAATAGTTCAATGCAGGATTGTAAAAAAAATGCATATTTAATGCAATTTTAGAAATTTTTTAAAAATTTTGTAAAAGGAAATACATTTCATGATTAGGTCCATTTTGCGATTTTCTTATTGCTATGTTTCTTGAGGTAATCAATCATAAACACGATTTAAAAATTGGAAAATTTTTGCCGCCAGCAGGGGTCGAACCTGCGACCTTGGGCTTATTAGACCCACGCTCTAACCGACTGAGCTATGGCGGCCACACACGGCAGCGGCATAATTGCGTATAAAAGAAGCGTGCGCGCTCTCGCTCAATCTCACCTCATTTGTTTGAATATTGTGCTTTTTCCGCTAGAAGGGCCACCTAAAATTGAATTTTCGCTTATTAAACATGAAATGAATGTATGAAACCTAATATCAAAATTTTAATCGCCCCATGGTCGATTCCCTTGTCTTCTGATAAATATTTCTCAATTTCAAGGCTCTTTTTCCTGAAAAAAAAAAACAAAACAGTGTGAGGCAAAGAAGAGGGCAACAAACTTCGCGACAATGTTCAATTTCGCCTGAAGCTCTTCAATTTGCAATGACATGCTCGATTGACCATCGTTTGGCCTACTTGGAGCAAGACAACTAAAAAAAGGATGAAATGAAATAATTTTTGAAATACTCTGCTACCCATTGGGACCATGAAGGCACTGATAACAATAAACCGTCGAAAGCCGCTGCAACAAATCGGAAAACCTATTGGATTGACCGTAATCCTCCATTCATTTGAAATTTCTTTGGGTTTCCGTCGAAATGCGAAAAAAATTATATCTGAAACCCAGGGTTGGTAAATTGAAGCCGGGGCCGAAAGCCGGCCGGCCGGCCCGGCTTTCGGCCGGCTTTCGGCTTTTTTTTGAATTCCCGCTTCGGCCGTGCGGCCGTAAACAACGGAGTTGGGGGCCGAATCGCGGGCCGAAAATTTGACAACGAAAAAAGCCGGCCGAAAGCCGGCCTGAGGCCGGCTTTCGGCCGGCCGGGCCCAAAATTTAACAACCCTGCTGAAACCGAATCGATTGCAACAAAAGTGCAGGTGGACGCGAAATGAACGAGCGCAAAAAATTAATTAACCCGCAAAGAGAAAATTATAAACGAGTTTTGAAATTGGGCGATTTTTTCCTTCAATTCAATCGATGTACACCCACACCTTTTATGGGGGGGAGCGGCTCTTTTTTACTTCTTCGCCGCCGAAAACACCCTATAATTTAAGCGGAGAAAACGAGAGGATAATTGTTAACCAATGTGTAATTATTTGAATACACTGGTGAGAAAGGTTTGCCGTAAAAATAATACGATGATCGAGAAGAGTTGAAACTAAAAAGAATTCGTCATATCACATAAAATATTTCTCAGCTGCCTCGTTAGGTATAAAAATATTATGAGAATGATGATGAAGAACAAGATTCGCGAGCACAAATTCGGTGGCACACACAAAAAAATCCGCGTATTAATCATCAACACAACAAATGAAATAAGAGCGGTGATATAGCATATGATAACTGGATAATTGCCGGCGGAATGGGTTAGCTGATCAGTGAAATTCTAATCATTTCACCTGCTTCGTAATTCCTATGAATGTTCATTTATAGTTTTGTCAGCCAAATAATTAAACATTTTCCGTTTGGACTACTGTAGTTCTGAAATGGTGTAATGTGATTGCGGATTTGTTTCTACTTTTTCAATTTTTGCACAGAAAACGAATAAAACGGCGTTTTCTTGGCTGAATGGTCATGTGAAATAAGATGAGGAAGAAAAGGGCGGTATGGAGCTGTCGAAAAGAGCAGTATAATTGAATTCTGTCTATTCATCAAGACGAAAAAAAAACGTCTTTTTCAGAAAATAAGGAAATGCGGAATTTCATGAAAAATCCATTATTGAGGGGCGATTTCATGAATCATTTCTCAGCGAAGAATGATTTTCTTCATAACCTTACGAATCGAAAAATATTTTGACCAGATTTTCTAATTGTATATTGCGAAAAGACCAAATATGGTAGGTAGAAAAAATGCATATAGAACAAAACTATTATTGAAATTCGTAAAAATTTTGAGGGACTGCGTTTTTATTTCATTTCGATGCCAATTGAATAATTGGGCAGATTGATTTAAATTCACAGAAAACGAAAATACGTTATTATTATTTTCCAAAATTCCCACTAACAGCTAATGTGCCTTATTTGTTCTGCAAATAATGTACAATCATCAATTAATTTTCCGAAACCCTCAACTCTCTAAGGAATTGCCGTGAATTTGAACTTTCGTTGATATTATGATATTCGTGCGAGATGGCCGAATTTTCCATGAAAAAAATCTAGGCCACAAATTTTTTTTTGAAATTTCGAAATTGAAGCCTGTTTTTTTTTTGAAAAAAATATTTTTCACAGAATGTATGGTGTTCTTGTGATTGGTGCTCCGGGAGCCGGAAAATCAACATTCTGCGCTGGTCTTGGCGACATTTTTCAACAACTTGAACGACCTTTTATGACAATTAATTTGGATCCGGCAAATGAGACAATGAATTATACACCAGACGTCAATATCACGGTATCTACTCCGTTTTTCTTGGGTTTTTTCAAAATAAAAATGTTTAGGAGTTAATCACCGTTGCCGAAGTGATGGATAGATTGGGTCTCGGGCCGAACGGAGCCCTGAAATACTGCATTGAGACTCTAGTGGCCAACAGCGATTGGCTTCTACAGAAAATCATGCAGAATCGCAACAAATATTTCATTATCGATTGCCCCGGACAATTAGAATTGTATAAAAGCGAAGGAGAATTATGGAAAGTTAGTTAAATCTTTGAAATATCTTTAAAAATCGAATGAAATTCAGGTAATTCGGCATTTAGAAAAAGCTGGAGTGCGTTTATGTGCTCTTCATCTAGCCGATTCTCTATATTGCAGTGATCCGTCAAAATTCATCTCAGTCGCCCTTTCCACACTAGGTATTTTCAATTTTGATTGTAATCACCACCAGCTTTGTTCAAATTGGGTCTCGAAAAGAGTTTACGAGAATTATAATAGCGTTCTAGTGTATTATCGGCATCGGAAAATTGGCTAAGCGCCAAAAAACAATGACAGTGGTTGGTTCTGGCGCAAAACTAAAAGTGTAGATTTACGGGCTTAAGAATAGGGATTGGTTAAAGGTGCACCTCTTTTCAAATTTTTTGGCGTTTAGCCAATTTGTCGCGCGACATCGAAAATACTCTTGGACGAAAAGCAAGTAAATCGCTTTGTGGCATTTGGCACGTAGCCAATTTTAGGAAAAGAAAAAATTAAATCAGCCGTTTTAATAAAAAAAAAAACATTTTGTGTTTTATTTATAATGCGGGTGGTGGTTCGAATGAAAATTAGTCATATTCCAGCAACCATGGTCACAATGGAAATGCCGCAAGTAAATTGCCTATCGAAAGCTGATTTATTTTCCGCTGAAGGCACCTATGACATGGATTATTTCACCTACCTGCCCGACGTTAATAAATTACTAGATTTGTTGAATGTGAGTTGTTGAGCGGGTTTGGCGAAATGCAACGATTTGAATTACAGAATGTTCCAGGACTTGAAAAATACCGAAAATTGAATGAGGCGATTTGCGGAGTAAATATAACAAATTTAAAGCACCATCTGTTTTTTTGTTTTGTTTGCAGGTGATCAGTGATTTCGACCTGGTTTCTTTTGTCCCATTGGCGGTGGAAAGCAAAGAGTCAATGGCGAAGGTGATACGATTGGTGGATGCCGCCAATGGATTTGCGCTCACCGAACAAGGCGATATTCGGGAATTAATTCTGAATCAGAAGTCATAATTTGTGATTCTCCCTTCGAACCGTCATTCTTTTCTGCGGACCTCCACACCATACATTCTACCACCACCTTCAATTGTGCGGGTTTCATTATTATTTTTGTTGTTATATCTGTGTCAGTCAATTGAACAATGAAACGCGATTAACGAGATTGGCGTGATATGTCTAACTAGATCATTCCAACCAAAAAAATGTGCAACTGCCATATTCGGCTTATAATGGACATTCCGATTTGTTTGGAGTGTCACAATTATTTCAGTTTGCGTTTCTTGATTAGCTTTCGCGTTGTTGTATCCACCAGCCGAACCTTGCTTCAAATAAACTCGACAATTTGCGAAACTCAGTTGTTTCGCAAAAAAAGATTCTATTTTCCAGCTGTATTTAGTTTGATTTGTTTGCTTTCAGATTTCTTTTTTCAATTGATTATTAATCATACGTTGACTTGATTAGTTGACATTATTGTAAATCACGTTTTTTTTATTAAACGTTCCATTATTTTTGCACCTTTTATATGCTCTTTTCAATGAACAAAAAAGGGAAAAAACACAAGCAGTTATTGGACCAATTTTGGCATTCATTAACGTCCTTATTTGGTGATAATTCCAACTCTCCTAATAACTCCACAGAATATAGTATTTTTATTACTTTATTATAATAATCAATAATCAAGTAGGAAACACGATTAGATAGTTAAGCTGAGATGAAAATTCTGACAGTCTCTCTCTTCCACGACGAATTCAATTCAATAAGGGTTTGTTGTAAACCGTGTGGTGTGGGGGGTCCTTTTTTATTATCATGACAGGTGGAATATCGATCTTACAACGGAACAGAGGTTGGTTTTCCTGACCTACGCGTGGCGGCTTGGAAAAAAGAAACAACTTAATAGTTAAATGAGGACAGAGAACGAGCAACAATACAAGAGTGCGGTGGCTCGTGCTGAGCTCATAGCTCCTATAGGTAACAACGATAAGGATTGCTTCCAGTTGAAGGGGTTTTTTTTTAATATTTGTGTATTCTTCCGGTCGTCATTGATGAACACGTGGCTCATTTACAGTAGTGAATCAGCTTTTTTATTTGCTAGATATAAGGAGCAGCTGGTGGTAGCTGATTCTAATTTCGGTAAAGCGTAGATCAAAGAAAATTCAATGCAATAAAATATAAGAAAGCCTGTTCAGTTTACTTGGTTTTTTCATTGTTTCATGAATTCAAATCGAATTTTCTTCAAATCAAAATCCATAATTTTGTAATTGAATTTGGTACTTCACGTATTCTGGTAGTTCTCTGCACCAAATTTTCTCTCTCTCTCTCTCTCTGCCCCTTTTCTTCCACGCAAAATACCCTTATTCGGAACAAAAACATGTTTTTTCATCGAATTGCATTTTATGATTTCTAGTCTAAACATCCGAGCAGATTTCTAAATGTTAGCGTCCTTTTCCGAATCAATTCGATTAATTCATTTTTTGATCAGATTGAACTCGCTAATTGTTCATTGAACACCGTAATTATCGAACGATTCGTCTTTGATGACTTCAGCGCTTCGATAAATATTGATGAACTCAACATTCGTCGAATTCTACTACGACGATGTGGTGAGCAACGCGAGACTCACCGACGACACCATCACACCAATGTCTTACCGCGATCGGATTACTGTCGAATTGACGCTTAATTTCTGCTCATGGCTTCTGAATCTCGCGCTTTTCCTATTCGTGCGCTTCACGAAAAGCATTTGGCAGTCGTTAAAGGTTTGCGGACATTACATCAAATTCGACGACAATTTCAAGTTTTCAGTCGACAATTGTTTTTGTGACAACCGGATCGCTTATTATAAATATTCCGCTGCTAACATTCCAATTTTGGATGGTAATTAATCTGCAATTAGGGCATGAGCCGCGATATTCGATTTTTCTTTGTTCGTGGCTCAAAAATTTTTGTAGTTCGACAACCTCGGCATACCAAGTTTTGCCATTTGTACGCCATTTTCGTTTCTTGGTTTTTTTTTTGAAAATTATTTATTTTAGGCAGTCTCGATTTATCGCTATCGGACGGTGGTCCGAAAAGAGCATCCGAGACCAGTTTTTGTTGTTATTGTTCAAATATGGGTTATTGTTTTATTTGTATGTTTCGAGACCCGAATCTTTTCGAATATCTCACCAATAATTTCAGACAATTTATGCGATTCTCAATTATCCATTAGGCGAGAATTCGACGAACGATGTGTGCCTCATTCTTCGGTTCAGTTACGCAATGGAAATGATCAGGGTATTCCAATTTTAAAAAAATCGAGAGGCGCGTGCCAATTATTTATTTTTGTTTTAGATATTCACCACATTATTCTTCAATTTTTTCGCAATTTTTGTCAATTTCTATATTATGCGGTTTGTCGAGAATTTCGCGAAAGAAAATAAAAGTTTGATTCTCAATTTATGAATTGTTTTCCAGAAAAAATTTTCGCTGAATTTCAGGCACTCAAAGGAAACGAATACAACTCACTCGTAGCCTTTTTATTCAATCGATGATTCCCGTTTTGGTGTCGATTCCCCTTCTCGCGCTCTCGTTTCATGTCTATTTCGGTGTGCGCCTTTAAACGATCAAAATTGAAATATTGCCGAATTTAGGATTTGATCTGCCGCCGTCGTTCTCTTCCCATTGGTACGCCATGACGTTCCTTGGACCATTTCTGACTCCTCTCTCTTCAATTCTGGGTCTCGCGTCGACAAGAAAAGAGCTCATCAGAACAATTTCATGTGGTTATATTGCACCAGCTATTCAAAAAGCTTCAGTGGTTACAGTAATCGGTCATCAGTCATAGAGCACGTTTAGAGATGATGATTAGCTATCGAGGTATTGATAGGAAACATTTTGATCAGAATCCTACTAACCTTGGATATGTCCTGGAGATTTTTAATAAAATAAATTAGCTCTTTTCAGATGACTTGTGGAAACTGTCTAAAGCATAAAAATGAACAAAGAAATATCGAATATCGCGGCTCATGCCCTAATTGCAGATTAATTACCATCCAAAATTGGAATGTTAGCAGCGGAATATTTATAATAAGCGATCCGGTTGTCACAAAAACAATTGTCGACTGAAAACTTGAAATTGTCGTCGAATTTGATGTAATGTCCGCAAACCTTTAACGACTGCCAAATGCTTTTCGTGAAGCGCACGAATAGGAAAAGCGCGAGATTCAGAAGCCATGAGCAGAAATTAAGCGTCAATTCGACAGTAATCCGATCGCGGTAAGACATTGGTGTGATGGTGTCGTCGGTGAGTCTCGCGTTGCTCACCACATCGTCGTAGTAGAATTCGACGAATGTTGAGTTCATCAATATTTATCGAAGCGCTGAAGTCATCAAAGACGAATCGTTCGATAATTACGGTGTTCAATGAACAATTGGCGAGTTCAATCTGATCAAAAAATGAATTAATCGAATTGATTCGGAAAAGGACGCTAACATTTAGAAATCTCCTCGGACTAGAAGTGCGAGATTCATGAGCAAAAATTATGCCATTTTCACGTGAATTGTTTTTCGCAAAAAAAAAAGTTTTAAGAAAATTAGTGAGCTCCATTACAGCACAAGATGGTTTCAGTCACTCTTACATGTTTTCCTATGTTGTCAGACGCGTTGCGGCTCTCGTTTGCATTTGGAAATTCTTTATTCAAACCTGAACCGCAACGCGTCCAAACTACATGGTCTTGCAGCGAAAATTTCTTATAGTCTCATTTTTTATAGGGGAGATGCACTATATTGTGTTACATGCAGATCGATAGACTCCGCCCATCGACGGCTGAACTTGTCGGAGATGGGACCAACATTTATTCTAGCCTTCCCTTTACATATGGAGTAGGTCGACGGCTTCCTCTCGGGTTGCCACCCACTATCATATTCATATATTATTCTAATAAAGTATTATATAGCTTATCGAGAATACATAGTGGCCTCGGAAAAAAAAGTAAAAAAAATTATTCTTTTTTTTCTTTGAGAAGGGGACAATATTTAAAAAAAGGAATCTTAAAAATCGCCCCAAATGTCAACCGAAAATCCGTTACCATAAAACATTATGTTGCCTTTTTTTCTCATCGATGTTGCTTGCGACGAGCCAATCCAATACCTCATTCATATTGGATTTTTTTCCGCCGACCGAACCCTATTATTACGTCGCGATTTCGACTGCAGAAGAAATCGTCGAAAAAACGAAATCTATAATGAATTCGACACTCATCGATGTCTATTATGACGGCGTTCTAGACGTTGTTCAATTCTCGCACGATACCGTCACTCCAATGTCGTATCGCGAACGGATCACGGGCGAATTCATTCTGAGCACAATCTCGTGGCTCCTCAATTTTGCCCTATTTCTATTTCTCCGATTACGACGAACATTCTGGAAAACGTTGAGGGTGATTCGCGTACAATACATTCGATTCGACGACAATTTGTTCAGTCAACCGTAGTTTTTGTTACAACCGGCTCTCTGATCATCAGTGTTCCGCTGTTACTTTTCCAATTTTGGATGGTCGCTCATCTTCAACTCGGTGTTCAGCCAGTCTATCCAATATATATATGCTCTCTGATCAAACATTTGTGCAGTATGACCACTTCAGCTTCTCAAGTTCTTCCATTTGTCGGCGAAAAGCAATTATAGATTTTGAGATTTTTAATTGAAATTTTGCAGCCGGTGTCAATCTATCGATATCGAACAGTCGTCAGAAAAGAGCAACCGCACACAATTTTTGTGATTATTCTCGAAATTTTATTGGGCCTCTTATTCGTGAGTTTTGCCATCTTTTTTCCGATCGAATTCGAAACCCGAATGATTGTCCGCAGATGGATATTCAGATGAACGAACAACAATCGTTTTCAGACAATCTACGTTGCTTTCATATTTCCGTTTGGCGATTTTCGCAAAAACGCGGTTTGCTTGATTATCTGCTTCAGTCCTTTAATGGAAATGCTTCGGGTACATTTTCTTCCTTTGTTTCTTTCTTTTTATTTCATTTTCAGATGATCACCATTTTATTTTTCAATTTTTTCGCAATTTTCCTCAATTTCTATATCCTTTATTTTGTGACCAAATTCGCCGAAAAAAATCGGTGTAAGTAAGCATGTAATCAAGGCGAAAATCACAATCGCTTCGAGACCCACAACAAGAATAAATGGGTCAACTGATAAGATTCATAAAAAACGACAAATGGGGTGCTTAAAAATGATCGTTAAAGTGGTCCTTAAGCGATTTCATTTTTCTCGTAAATTCAGCGGTTCGAAAAAAAAAACGATGGAGCTTACACGAAGTCTATTGATCCAATCATGTGTGCCAGTTCTCGTCTCAATTCCTCTACTCGGCCTCTCCATGAACGTATTCTTCGGTATGCACCTTTAAGCACTTCAAGCAATATGTATTTCGTTCAGGTTTCCCCGTTCCGGCTTCATTTTCATCCCACTGGTACGCTCTCTCCTTTCTTGGCCCATTTCTAACACCATTATCTTCAATCGTAGCTCTAAAATCGACTAGACAAGACCTTCTATGGACTTTGACATTTGGAAAACGAGGAAAATCCACAGATTCGGTGATCCTCACAGTAACAACACTGACATTTTAGGAATTGTGTTCATTCAATAAATAATATTAATACGAGGAAGAAAAAAAAGTGAAAATAAATAAGTTGTGCACAAGTCAAGAATTTTATTTTCTAGTTTCCATTCTGGGTGTGTTTGTGTGGTTTCAAATCTGATGACTAGATGCTCGTGGGTTTCTTGATACGGATTACGGAGCCGTTACTCGCATCGCAGGTTTCACAATTAATTTCCCGTTCTGCAAAAGAAAATTGGAAAATATCGAGAGTGACGTTGAATTACATGATCACAACTTAGACTAAATGGCGAGAGCGCTTCACGACATCGACGAGCAATTCTGAAATCATTATTCTATTACAGTACTCCTACAGTAATCAAAGATATTACATTGATGGCGCAACAACGCGACGATGAACACCGAGAACGCCGAAAAGGAAGAATCCAGTGACAAGACATACAATGAAGTCGATATGCGATGCCCAGTAGTAGTCACTTGAAGCAACCTAAATTAATTGATACCGCAACTCAATCGAAGGATCTCATACACTTTCGACACTGTTCGATAGAATGAACTTTGAGCACGTGACGCCGATTACCACTGCGAATATCACGATTGCCACTGAAACTTAAATAGAATGCGGTTTTTGAGACGTTAATAAGGTGGAGGAAGTAAGGATTTCTGAGTAGTACAAGGAAATCGGAAACAGCATGCTTTTTTTGAATGGTTTCTTGTGGCATTTGATCAAGTAGTGGTATTTTTCAAAAAATCTCGCAAAACAAAATAAGTTATCAACATATGAAACAAAAAAGGATTTTCACAATGGTACTACAAGAATTCAGTTAGTCTATTCAAGCACAAATTGTTAAAAAAAAAAACTCACTTCTCCACCGGGTGCATGATGGTCCCATATGCCCAATAACCTCGGTTAGTCTCCGCTCAAAGAATTTGAGATCTGAAAATCACGATGAAACGGACTTAGCGGATCAGATGGCTCACCTTCGCAGGCCGTCGTAGCCTCATCCATGATAAGCGCGTCTTGTGAATGGCCCGGTATGGTTAATTCTAGTAAAATATTAGGTTTTAATAGTCTTCTGCAATATTTACCAAATGAGGATCAGAGAAGTTTAGAAATAAGAAAATATGGAGGATAAATAATAAAAATTGGCAAAATACCAACTATAGTTGAAAAAAATAAAAAATTCGTAATAAAAATTTTTATTAACAAACCATATCTTCAACAAAAAGGAGAGAACAACAATATGAATCAAAAAACAAAAAAAACCATGGGTAGAAGGAAAAACAACAATCAACAACGAGAAAACTCATTTCTGGTGTTTCGTTTTTCTGCGTTTCTCGAGTTTTTTGCGCCACATGTTCGATTTTTCGGCGCCCTTCTTCGCGAAATCCACCACATTTTTCGGTTTTCGGTCTTGCGCCGCTTCGACGATTGTCTTTCCGGCGATTTTCGCCTTGTTCACTTTTTTGCCTCCGCGTTTTCCGCGTGTTCGAATCGACGCAATGTCTTTTTTCGGTTCAGCTGTTGAAGATGACGGACCTCCTTCTTCTTCTTCCATCTAAAAATTTCTGATCTAAACGACAAGAACATGCTGAAAATTTTCACCAACCTGAATATCCTCGTCATCTGGTAGATCATCAGCAAGATCACTAATTCCTGACAAATCCGTAAGTCCTGAGCAAGTTGAGCCAATTTCCGTCATTTCCTCCTCTTCCTCATCATCCACTGGTTCATCCTAAATCAAAATTTTTCCATATAGCTTCGTAGTAACGCGGGAACTCACTCTAGCGACATCATCCATTTCCAACTGTGCCTCTGGCGGCACTTGTTCGTCATCATCGGCGCACAACTCATTAATCGGCGCCTGTTCAAAGTCCTTCTTCGCGCGCTCCTCGCAACCTGGCGGGACGACAAAGTACGGCAAACGACCGCGTTGAAAATCATTCAGAACCACTTTGGCAATCGAGTTAACATCCGGATCACCTCCCTTCAACAATCGTCCTTGCTTAATTGCAATTTTCGTCAAAAAGTCGTCGACTCCTTTGAAATCCGGAATTCCGTAATGACGACGAAGGTGTTCGACTTTACAGCGATCAAGAACTCCTTGCACATGATTCTCAGGATCCTTGACGTTCTCCACACGAACCTAAACATTGGAGAAAATAAGCAAATGCCATTCAAATTTTCAAGGAAAAAAAAACTTACAACTCCTTTTAAAATAATCTGAGTTTCAGAATCTCCTTGCGGATAAACGACTCCGGGACAATCAATGAGATAAATTCGACGCATCAGCATCACGTATTGCCAGACTTTGGTTTCTCCGGCAATCGGAGCTGTCTTGCAAACTTTCTTCTTTCTCAATGTGTTTACCAACGACGATTTTCCAACATTCGGATATCCGATAAATCCAACACTGATCTGTGGACGATCAGGATGCAATTTAGCAAACTGACGAAGCAGATTAATAACAGCTCCTTTTCCGAAAGAGTTTTGAATCGAAGCATGGAAAGCGATCGTCGGCATCTCCTTCGAAAGCTCCGCAATCCATTTTCTCTAAATTTCATGAAATATATTACGGAAATGATTTTATAAAAAAAAATATAAATAAAAACCCCCTACCGTAACCCAAGTCGGTACCAAATCAACTTTGTTGATTACAGTAACCAAGTGTTTGTGTGGTTTTTCTTTGCGCAGAAACTCTTCAACGTGACGACAACGAGTTCCCTACAACGTCGTTTTTGATCTACATTCTATATAAGAGTTTTAACGAACCATCGGATCTCTGGCATCAACAACCTGCACGACGACATCAGAAGAATCGATCACCTTGTACAATTCTCCCCAGACACGATTACTCTGTCCGGCACGGAAGAGCGGATTCTGATTCTCGGGTCGTTCGTCAACATCTTTGTCGCGACTCTGATCCATTTCGGGATTATATTTCGAGTCCCTTTCTTCAGCGCTTTGCTTCATTTCCTGAAAACAAAGAAACGTTTGGTGTGTTTTCAAATATTCTGAGCAATTGCTGGCTGGCTGTCTACCTCCAATGATCCATCGCTCAATTTCGCCTTCTTCCTCAATGATTTTTTGCCGAACGTGTACTCGAAACTTTCAGTTTCGGTGACATGGACCCGTTGAGTTTTCGCTTTTTCTTGAAGCAAACTAATCGGCAACTTTGTCTGTTTCATGACCACTTGGAACGGGTCTTTCATCACTTTTCCAAGGTTCTCCTGGAATTTTTGCAGCTGCTCTTGCCCAATAATTCGAGTGTTTCCTGGATTTCGAAAAATAAATAAGGAACTAGCGGAAAAAAAAACGAAACTCACCAAACCATTTCCGGTTCGGCTCGATTCTTGCTTGCGTTCCCGGTGTGAGTTTCTCTTGAAACGGCGCTGCCTTCACAATTTTTCCTTTCGAATCTCTGAAAATCATTTCGTTTCCTATTTGTTGCTATATTTATTTCCAACAAGGAAATTACGCAATTTCCTGTGAGAAAAAAAAACGAACCCTCAAAGAGACCAAAAGAATGCAACTTTAAAATTTTGTTTACAAATCTGATCATGTTTCAAAAATTAAATTCTCTTGCCATTTCCATTATTTGGATAATTTCATTCAAATAAAAATCAAAAATTAGGTCTTAAATGTTTTTTTTTAATCGTGTTCAAAAATTGAAAAATATAGCAATTAATTGGTTTTGAAATTACAAACCTAATCGGTTTGAAGCTTTTATACATTCGAAGACGATTGATAGTTGCTTTTGACCTCTGGCTCTGATCTTTGGCATCTTTGGGACGATCTGGAGCCCAAATATCAGTTTCAATTGTTCCGGGGGGCGAATTTCAAAAAAATACCTGGATTCATACTGTGATTCGAACCGCGAAAAGTGTGCCGATTCTTGACCGGCCCATAGTTCGGCTTCTGCTTGAGCTTTTTGCTCACTTTTCCTTCTTTCCGCTGTTTCACCATGGTTTCTTTAGTGAATTACCCTTAAAAATAGGAGTTGTTGTCGAAAAAAAGCAACACACACACACACACGATAGCGGTTGAAAGTAACGGCTGTTTGCACTAGAGCACGTTTACCGCGTACGGCGTGACGTCAGGCCATCAATAATTACATGCAAAAACACACAGAGACATTCAGCAACACGAATCGCGCGCTTCGAAACTAATTTGTTGATTGCACAGGCGGTCGCCGCCCCCGGCATAACTCTATTTAAAGGATCGACGCGAGCTCGGAAGTAAGCCCCCATCAGAAGCGTTTTTATGTTTTCGTATTTTTTTTTTGCGCAAAGAAAGACGCAACATTCGGAGTCTATTGTTGTTTAGCGGCGACGAACAAAAATAATTCAAAACATTGAATTTTGTCGACTTTTATTTTTAGCTAAACACTCATTTCAAACATTCATTGATAACGTCATTCGCAGCCCAGAAATTGTCTGATAACCGCCTAACTATGCTAACTATTAATGATAAAATTTGTTGGAAAAATGAGGTAAAATGTCGAATGTTTGAAGCGAAATTGAATTTTGTTTCTCAATCTGCGCCTCTCAGGTAATTCAAGGCCCTATGCTGAAGGTCGCAGATTTTCCAAGAACGTTGAAGACTTTTGGTTTCAAATGTCTAGGGACCAAATTTAACGAAACTTGCAAAAAATGGCTTTTTTGGAATCGAAATTTTGAGATTTCTTTGCTTTTTTTGGTTCGAAATCTGATTATGTGAATGTGGCCTCACACGGATTCCTTTTTTAAAATGATTCATTCATTTCTAATGCGAATAATTCAGTAATTCAAAAAAAAAAACGTTGTTTGCTTCTTTTCTTTGGAACGGCTTCGAAAAAAAGCACAACAACGTGTTTTTTCTTTCTTTTTATTCGAAATTTCTCCAAAAATTGAGTGGCTCTTTCAAATTACTTTCTGAGCACCTCAATATCAAGTTTGAAGGATCATAATCGTAAATCTACATCACTCACTGACGATTAGTTTAATGAAATGATTGGATTTAATTCAATTTATGATTTTCGGAACATTGAAAGAAATGTAATAATGGCCCAGGCTCAAATAGTTGCAATCAAATCCAATCAAAACTTAATTAAATCAGGAAATTCAAATTTAAGACACCAAAAAAGGACTGGAAGGCTATAAATTCGGAGAAAGAAAAAAAATAAAACGGCGCCAATTTTTTTTCGCTTGCCTTCTCTTTCTTTCACAAAACCAAATACGTCAATTGTGAATGGTGTGAACCGCGGAATCGCCTTTGCTTATTGTTATTCGCTCGCAACACCCACTTTTATGCAATTCTGTACGATTTTCCAATTATTTTTTCTTACATTGAACCTCATTTCCGGCACTTAAGTGCCTCTACGCTCATTGTTTCGCGATTTTCCGCTTAATGAGTAATAATGAGGCGCCGACGTTTGGAATTCCACTAGAAATTGCCAGTAGATTGATATTATCATCATTGAAACGTTAAATATAAAAGCAAAGACACTAAAATCAGGCTTATCGCTGCCAATGTTGCATTTTAATAGTTCTTTTGATGATAAAATCGCCCACCAATTAACAAAATTGAAAATGTATTTTTAAAAAACGTATGGTGCTCATTTTTGACGTATGTTTTTTGTGCCTATTTATTTTCCTATCTTTTATGGACGTCCCTCATGACACTTTGGAACTTCTTCTTTTTTGCAGTTTCTATTTTTTTGTGCGTCTTCTGCGTTTTGCACATTACTTTACGAATGCTTTTTTTTTTGTTCTAGACACAGCGAAATGAGTCACATCACTATTATTTCAAGCCTATTTCGGCATGTGGACGTACTCTTTTATACTAAAAATGCATTCGGACACGCACTTTTTTTCGTTTCATACCAAATTTTGTCGACCAAAAAAAACAGCGTTTAATTGACGTTTTCGTGGCATTCCTTGACATTTTGTTTCGTCATTTTTCCCTCGATAAACACAAATTTTATTGGAATTTCGGCGCGGTTGAAGCCAAAGGGCATCGATTTTCGACGGGAAAACGAATTTTTGCTTCCCGTTATGTCGAAGAACATTCGAAAATTCTTTGTTTGAAACCTTTGACGACTGATTTTTCCGAGTGACCCGATGAGTCAAGTTCTAAAGTCAATATTTGGTCAAAGTTAGCTCGTCTATGAAAACTACCAAATCGATATTTGTATTTCGCTCCGTTTTCAGAAGTTTGCGCCTCCTCATACGGAAATGGAAAATTTCACATTAATTTTAATGTTATTGCCTGTTTTTAGAATATAAAACAAGACAATTCACAAAAATTCTCATTTTCCTACTAACATTCTTGAACCGAATTTGTCCTCTGAACTTGAATCGTATTGATTAGTGCAAGTCTCACACGAGCGCGCTACATAGCAAAACAAGATATTTTCACGAATTAGTACTAGTTCGTGTTTCTCTAGTTTCGACACACCAAATTTCCTCACTAGTCGCTTTAATCAAAAATAGGACATTGAAAATTTGCACATGTCGCCATTGGCAACCCAAATCCTTTGAAGAAAAAGCAAGAGTTATATTGTTACTCATCTCATAGTTTGTTTATCTCCAAGCAATTTCGTTTTTTATCGCGTTATTAGGGGAGCGCAAGATTTCAATAATTTTTGTCATGCAAGCCAACAAGTTATCTTTATTTTAGACGTGAATCACATTTCTAACGACGAAAAACTAATTTTGAAGAGCGAAAAACATAGAAAAATGAGTTAGTTAGGTTTAGATAGTGTAAAAAGCGAAAAACAAAATTAAAAAATAATTGCACCCGAAATGTGTCAATATCGCGTTATCTGTGCCAATCTCCTACAGTTAGCGCATCTCGCGTGTCTATTTAAAGAGGGCGGAGATTCGGCGCGCGTGAACACGTCGCACCTCGTGAAAAATTCACCGAATCTATCGGTTACCAGCCGCCGAAACACCGCGGAAAATATTTTCCGAAAAAACATGGTGCGTTTTATTTCAAATAATAAAAATTACAGACTAAAAATAAGCGAAATTAATAATTATGAAATCAATATTAACTCGGCTCACTCAATTATTTTAGATGGTTATCAATCCATTTCTGATTTCAACTGAATTTAATATTCATGAGCAATAACCTAACACTCATACTAACTTTCAAGCATACTAGTGTATTCAAATGAATAATGTAAGTAAAAAAGGATAGCGCGCAAAATGTTGTATTGAAAATGTGTATTCAGAGGACAAATCTCACTCAAGAGTCAGATTATGATTATGATTATACTCAAAATGCGTCCGAAACGCAGGTTTAATCGCTTAATTAATAAACAATTTTCGTTCAAAATTTTCAATTCGTTTTAATTTTTATATAATTTCAGACTGATATGATGCTTGTCGTCGAGCCGAGAGGTCTCACGTTGGTGCCTTGGGATAAAATCGCCGATTATTTGATTATTGGTGTCACATATTTCTTCAAATTCTTCATTATAGGTTAGTTTTTTTAATTTAAAAATTTAGTTTCATTGAATGAAATTTCCAAAAATTTATAAAATTCTTATTCTTATTTATGTGCAATGATTGTATTTTTCATCAGTTCTATCGAAAGAAACCTCGCCTTTTGAAGAGCAAAAGTTCAATAGCTCTTGAATAATGCATCCATTCTTACAAAAAAATATGAAATAAAACAGAAAACGGGGACATGACGTTAAAAAAATAAGACCCTTGGGAAAAAATTTAACTTGGTTTTGCAGTCGGAGGTTCGATACCCTATGTGTTCCAATACGTCGAAATTCACCATCGCCGAAATGCTTCCGGATTCTCATTATTCGTCTGTTTGGCACTATGCATCGCCAACATTCTTCGTATTCTTTTCTGGTAATCTTTTCAAAAATTTTCAAGGAAAACCGGTTTCAATTAAATTAATTAATTAATTCGATGATCATCAACCAATTATGTTTCAGGTTCGGCAAACGATTCGACAATGCTCTATTGGCTCAGAGTATCGTGATGTTCATTTGCATGATATTAATGTAAACGAAAATGTTCAAAAAAAAAAGATTTATAAGTGCCCGAAATTCAGGCTAGAGATCGCTGTGCGCATGAATCGGAAACATACAGCAAAACCGATGCGAAAATCGATATTGAGTAAGTCGAAATGTTGCGAAAACCGCTTATTATGTACACTATTATACATGTTTCTTGTGTTCATCTCAAATCCAACAAAAAAAAAACAAATTATTCGGGTATGTCGTTGAGTGTCGATTTGAAATCGCTTTCCTCTCGGATGCACGATGTCTGAAAATTGTCGAATATTGATAGCCATCTTTGGCAGAAGCCGGTTTCGCGCGCCAATCGCGTTTCGCCATCTCGCTTACCCGACTTTGCGGCGTTAGAAGGCTGACGGCAACGTTCGGCTCGGTTTGACGCCGTTTCGAGCGTATCTTGGTGGTCAACATGCCGTTTTTGTTCGACGACATCTCGAATGAGCGATGACGGGGCTGAGAATTGGCGGATTTTTGCTTGAAAATTGAGTTTTTTAGTTCGATTTTTGTGTTGGGCCCGGCGGAAATTCAATTTTCGCTACTGCTGTCGCTGCTGTTGTAACTGCTTGCTTATCTTTTTGCGAACAAAATTCGCCGAACAAAAAGGAAGGAAGTGTGTGTGTGTGTGTGTGTTTTGGCACTACCTACCTACTATATTGAGATCATGAAACATCACAGTCTCCTCAATCCTTGTACTATCTTTACGAAGTTTCTCACCTTCTCTTTCGGACGATTCATATGTCGCGCGATCCTCTGCAATATGTTATCAGGCGGCGGCGGGACGAACGGCAGACATCGATTGATGCATTGCCATATTGGGACGACTAGACGAAACGCGGAGCGCTTGAATTCTTTGACGGTGAACGAATAGATGATCGGATTGAGCATTGAATTGCAATAGCCGAGCCAACTGGCGATATCAATGGCTATGGAGGGAATACACCCGGAGCATTTGTAATCTTTAATATTGAGAGGATTGAAGTTGTTGTTGTTTTTTTTTTTTTCAAAAAGCTTACTGGTCAGGTAGAGACTAAAGAATGGCAGCCAGCAGAAGAGGAATGAGCATGAGACGACGCCGAGTGTCTTGGCGATTCGCTCGTGCGTCCGAAGCACTCGTCGCTGATGCTCGACCATTCCATTCGTCTTACCGAAGTGAACCCGTAGCGTTGTCTGCTGACTCAGCGTGTTGGTGAGAAAATTCATGTTTTGGCCGAGAATCATGAGAAATCCGCGATCGAGCGCCTTTTGCCGATTCCGCGCCAACTTGTAGATGCACCAATAGAGGGTGAGGGTCACCGAGGCCGGCAGGAAGAAGGCGAACACCACACTGTGCGCCAGATAGCGAATCTCGTTGCCGGCGAAACAAATCGACTGAAAAAATATTCTATGATGGATTTTCTTTTATTTTACGTTTTTTTTTTGCAACGCCGTGTGGGAATTTGGTTGACTTACGTCATCATAGCACTCGGGTTGTTCCCAACGAACGGTGGTGAGTAGAATGGAGGAAGAGAACATCCAGATGGTCGTCATCACGATTATCACCTTCGTTTTGGTCACAATTGACTTGTATCGAAGTGGTCTTGTCACGGCAAGATATCGATCCACCGAGATCACGCAGATGGTCACCACCGAGCATGTGCAAAATGTGACGTCGGCAGCGACCCATAGGCGGCACAAGAATCGGCCGAAGATCCAGCGGCGGTAGATCAAATGAACAGCACCCATGGGTAGCACGATAACGCCGACCAAGAAGTCGGTAAGGCCAAGATTCCATACAAGAAGTGTTGTGTTGGTCCGGCCGACACGTGCCTTGAAAAAGAGCACCAGCAGGTTTCCAAAAACGGTCAGAAGGATAATGATGACGGCGGGAATGCAGAAAAGCGCGAGAATTGGCGGAGGTAAATTTTCGATTGTGCCATACTTGCCCTTCCTTATAAGGATTTGAAGCTGCAAAAATCTCTTTTTTTTTGTGTGTGTTGCTTTGAGTTTGCCCATCAGTGTGATTACCTGCTCCTTGCATAAATCGGATACATTTGACGTCTCATTGCTCATAATGCTCGCTAATTGTGAATAATCGAGATCATCGTCGTCGTTGGATGAAGGCATGACGACGACGTGATTGCGCGTAGTGTTGCGTTGCTGAATAGAGGCGAATTAGAGAATTGGCGAACATTCTTTTTTGTGGCGACCGTGGGAAAGCAACGAACACACGAGAATCGATATGGGGCGGAGAGTGAATTGCTCGACGTCGTCGAGACGCAATTATGAGGACGAGCTCGAGCATCGGTTAATTATACGGTAGATGAAAAGAGGAATGAATGAATGGGAAATTAGGCCGATTTTTGTTTACCTTTTGAAGAGAAAGAAGAAGAGGAAGGAAAAAGAAGGCAGCAGGTTCATTCGGAATTCTGCAGGATGATGAAAATCTGAAGCAAAATAGGAAAAAAAAGAGCAAAGGGATCGACACGCACTTGTGCATGTGTGTGTGTGCGGCGAAGTTGTTGAAATTCGCCATCTTCAGATCACGGGATCATGAATGAAGTAGAGTAGAGGGGTCCCCGTGAGAGAATCGTGCATGGAAAAATCAAGCTAGGAAAGAAAGGGCACAGCCATGTCCCGCTTGTGTTGCTCGTCTTCTAGTCGACGCGCCGTCGTCGTGCTCCTTTCCTATTCTATTCAATTCAACGGCGGCCCCGCGACGACGACGACGACGACGCCGAAACAATCTCTTTGTGGGAAATTGTGGAGCGCGCGCGAGCTCGCCTGCCTGCCTGCCTGCTTGGATAAAAGTGGAAAAAGAAGAAAAAAAGTTCATCACTTTGAGATGAATGATTCCCCTCATCCTCCTTTAACATTGAGATGAAGATGAAGGTGAAAATGCGCTCCACGTACACGTATAAATAAGTGATGTTGTTCTATGGTTTTGGCGTGTGTGGCTGACTACCGACGACGACGACGACGACGATGGCTCGCATGAAGGCCACCTCTCGCAACACCTCGTGAGAGACTTTTTTGATTGTGAAGTTGAAAAGAGGTGTTTTTGCTCTCAAATGAGCCATATTGATGGAGTTTTTGTTGGTTCTTGGTAGTAGCTTTTGACTGCTTCTTGTTCTTCTTCTTCTTCCTCAAATCTTTCTATTCGTCGCGTGTGCCCTGAGGGTCTCGAAAAGAACTGCCATCAACAATTTGAAAAGGGCATCGAGCAAGAAGATAACTCGGCTCTATTTTTGGGGCAACGTGTTTCTTTTTTTGGCGATGGAAATAGAATGGGATACAAATAACAAGGCAAGATAAACAGAAGAGAAATTGATCAGAGACCACAACTGATTTTTGAAACATTCACCCCGTTATGGAGTTGAGTTGGAGGATTAGAGAGGTGGGGGGGGGGGAGTGGAGGGGAAGTGATCTTCCCCACATGGACAAAGAACAGCAAGTTTTGAGCCGAGATCTCCTCAAACGAGAATTGCGTTCGAGACAGTTTCCCTTTGAAAGAGCATTAGAGAAAAAGCTGCCGCCTCTTCAAATGTGTGTTGCGGTAAATCTTGCTCATTTTTAAAGAGTTCTTGTTGTTGGACCATCTAGTCATTTAAGGTACATACCGGTCTCGCTTAAAGGTGCATTACAGTAAGTCTTTCATTATATTAAAAGCGGATTGCGATTAAGTCGGCTTCTTATAAATACTTCAAAGGTTGGGCCCCTTTAAGCTTTTAGTTGTGCACTTTCCGAGCACCGAGTTTCCATTTTGCGTGACGATTATCATTAAACGTTGCGTGCTTCAATATGCAATGGTAACCAGGAGATTTTGGCCAAATAAAAAGACAAGCAATAACAATAAAGGAACTGCGATTCGCTCTGGTTGTAGACGACGTAATCCTCGTGCTAGGATTTAGGCGCAACTCGTTTTCTCTCTTCCTGTTTAATGAGTGCACAAGTGGGTGTCGAATCGACTTGAAAATTGAGTTAGGCCGCAATGGGACCCGTCGAACACTAAAGATCATCAAAGGAGCCGAAAAAAATAGACAAATTCGGAGAAAATGGTTGGGGAAAAGAAGTGAGGCGCAAAAAAAGAAGATGAAGAAGACGACGACGATGATGATTGCAATTGTGAATTAGCATATAGATCTGAGGCGCAAAAAATGTTTCTCCGTCGATTTTCTGGTGATTATCGAATCATCTTTGCCCGCACGCTTTTTTTTTGGAGCACATTCCACCTCTCAAGTGTATTCTCACAACAGCATATGAAGACGAAGAAGAAGGAGAAGGAGTAAAAGAAGGAATAGGAAAATTGGCGGGGCAGAAGTGTCCGAACCGATGATAGGAAAAATAGAAGAAGTCGAAGAAGAGGAGTTCAATTTAATTTTGCGCGGCCTCGTCGAGACACCTTCCCTTTTGTGGCATCGGCGTTTTTTTTTTTTTTGCTTGATTGCATGCTCTGCTGAATGCAAAAAAAATGTATCATAATTTATTTTTCTTTTTTTTTTGGCTCATGATTATTGATATATAAATTAGTTGGGAATACGTGAGGAGATTTCATCTTTGACTGCCTCTTGACACTTTTGAGCTCGAGCGGAGCCCGTTTGCACTGACGAAACGACAACGATGAATGAGCATTTTGTTATTGACATGCCCCACTGATTTTTTTTGTCACACGTGAGCGTGTGTGAGATAAGAGAAGAATGGAACTGGACGAGGTTAATTGGGATAATCAAGTTTGGCATAAGGGACCATATTTTGACGGAAAGGGCAACGAGATTTTGCGGGGCAAACAAAGTCACATGAACTTTGAGTAGTCGGCAACAATCAACGAGAATTTGACAGGAGATGAACACGGTTGACGATTGTGCAGTGGGAAGGGGGCTATTCGGGTTTTGATTTTTGCTAGTAGGCGTTTCGGGATCAATGGAATCGTGACATTTTTTTGGTCACATGGAATGAAAAAAAATGTTTCTCATTAAATATCGAGAATTGCGTGAGAATATGATTGATATCATATTGCAGTTGTGAGTGATTTTAATGGGATTTTGTGCGGTTCTTTGTACCTTTCGACAAGATTGTGAGAATTGTTTTGCGAATGAATCATCTCATCGAATGACGCGGACAAAGATCGAGTTTTGCGGAGAGTCTGTGCACCACATTTGGCCATGTTGCTGCTTACTTACTAACAATTGTCCGAGTACCGAGCGGTTGTCGATAAGTGACTTGATGTTGCTGTTGCTGTTGCTCAGCGCGTCAATCACTCTCAGAGCCCGCCGATATTGAAAAGCATTTTTGACCGAATAACTCCCGCCTCAAACTAATGATGTGACGATGAATGAATGATAAATACTCGAATTAGTGTTTTAGAATTGACATATCATCGGAGCCCGTTTGCCAATTTCTATTACGTCGTCATCAATGGAAAATGGGATCATTTTAAAGGTGCATACACCGATTTAGGTCCTCCACTCCCTCTCCTCAAAGATTAAAAAAAAACAAATGAAAAGAACAATTTTGGCTCAAAAGAAATTTGTTTTGGAAATTGAATGATTTTTTATTGTTGTTTGCAGAAGGCGATTTTCTCAACGCGTTTTGGGCATGGCACGATTTGGCGTCGTTTCTGATCGCGTTGGCTGTTTTCACGGCATTCTGGTCACTCGTCACATTCCTACTAATTAATGTACGCCGATTGTCCTAGTTTTTGCGCGTTTCTAGTTGTTCAAGTTTCAGCAAAGCTGGTACGTCGAAGGACTTGGAATGGTCTCGTTGCTCGTCGAGGCGAGTTTGGGTCTTCCTCAATTGTTGAGGAATTTCCAACGCAAATCGACGCAGGGAATGAGGTAAGAAGTGATTGCATTTTTTCCTCTATTATATGTAAAAGTAATGCTTGAAATCAAAACTAGGCTTATGAATTCAAAATCTCCACTCTTCGTGCAATGAAAACAAAATTAAAATGTGAAAAAAACATGAATTTCATTAAAAATCCTGCTGCGGACATTTTTTGTGGCAAAAAAAAAACTTGCAATAGTTGTTTCATCTTTGGGCTCTTTTAGGGAATTCTCGTTGCAATTATGAGACCTATTACAGTATTCCGATGGTGTTGGCATGGCTTGCTGGAGATTTGGCCAAGACGGGTTATTTCGTGGCGACTGGTAGTCCAGTTCAATTTTGGGTCTGCGCAATTCTACAGGTTTGCATTCTTTTGGGTTGCATTCGACTCCTAGCGAGCAGAGCTTTTTTTTCATTAGAGTAATGTTGATGATGGCGAAGGCCGACCGCGTGGTTTCGTTTTCTTTGATTTTATTCCGCAGAAAAAAAAGAAAAAAGAGGTGAAAAGACGGGCGGCGCAAAGATTGAATACTGAGAACTCTCAGCACGTGCTGAAATTTTAATAAGGTTGCGGAATTTGTGAGTGCCTCTTCCTGCTGCCTCCTCGCCGCCTCGTCAAAGTCGAATTCGCGTCGTTTGCAAGATGCTTCCGGCGGCCACGCCCACTTCGCCACCGCGGGGACCATTAGATTGGATTGTTTCAGATATCGATCGACATCTTCATTCTCGGTCAGGTGTTCGTGTACAGGAACAACACGAGTGCCGATTTGCCGTTCACCGAACCGGTATCGGAAGTTCAGCCGGCGATCGAATAGAAACCAACTCAGGAATCTCGTCAATTTCCATAATCTCTCATTTATTTTTACTATAATTCAGCTTTAAAAAGCTTACTAAAACATTATCAATGTGATGGATTTGTTTTTTTTTTCATTTCGAATCGGGTCATATTATTTGTTATTTCTTCATCAATCTTCCTCTCCTTTTCCTCTACTTCTCGAAATGTTGGTGTTGTGAATCGATTAACGTTCCCCTCCTCTTCCTCTCCCTCCTAACATTACATCAAGATTTGTCTATCTGCACGAGAAACTCTCACCGCGCGCACCTGTGTATATTTTTAAGCATAACTTTTTTTTCTTGAACCTTTAAATAAATTTATTTACTGGTCGAACAATTACTTCCATTTGATTGGTGTGGAAAAGGTTAACGACGACTTTTTTTGTGTTTTCGCGTCGGGACCTTTCTTCGAGTCTTGACGAATTCAACGCAAATTGTATGACTGATTGCAGCGTTTGAAGAACTCGGCGGCAGTGTAGCTTGTCACACCTGGAAAAAATTGAGTGGCTTAACTATATTGGGAATAATTTATACCGGCAATGTCGAAGTTTGTCGAAAATTCTTTGTCAGAAACAATTCGGGCCACAAAATTTTCATGATCCTGAAAAAAAAGACATATTTGTGTAAAAGAAATTGTCGTAAATTGGAAAAATGTGTTGATTTACTGAAAACTCAATTTTGGTCTTGAAGCGATTCGAATTGAAATGGTAGAAATCTTTAGTGGTCAACAATTCGATTTTTTTGGTTGGAAATTCTTTCTCCAATTTTTGAATATTTCAGTTTGCCGCCATGGGTCTCGTATAGAAAATCAGATTCATTTTTGCAAGACATTTACAAGACGAATTCAATGGAATTCTCATTTTTCCATGAGAAGCGTTATACGCACCTTGACGTCATGCTCCTTGGCCGACGCAATCAGCTTCTTACACGCTTCCCTCTCATCGGCAGCCGAGATCACACGCATTTCTCCAACCTTCTGCCGTTCGTGAATTTCGCGAAGTGCTCGTCGAACGACCTGCGAATCTCCCGAGTTTTTCGATCGATCCAATTTTGCCAAAGTATCCGTGGAAACCGCGAAAATGAAGTCATTCAAATGCCACAATTGGGCAATCGTGCTCATTTTTTCGATGATCGAATAATAATTGATGAGAACATAAATTGGCTTCCAATTCGTGTTGTCCTCAACGTTTTCCTCAATTTTCTCGGCTTCCACCGGTTTTTCGAAATGCTTTTTCGGCGAAACAGCGCCGTTCACTCGAATGTACTTCGAATTCGATTTTTGGAAAGGCGCATTCGTTCCGATACACAATTTTCGATGCCAGTATGATAGAAGGGCGAGTGGGTCCTCTCCAGAAGGACCATTAATCAAATAACGAACATCGTCAAGAATTTCATCAGAAATTTCTGGATTCAACCCATTGAAATTCTCACAGAGAGCGTCACAAAGATCATCCCATTTCTAAAAATAGAGATTCTGATGAGGAAAAAATACGTTCCATCTCAAAATGTTACCTTTTTGGTAATTCTTGGGAATTTATTAATGATATTATTGTTTTGCGACGATGAATGAACGAATTCGCAGGCAACACAAATGACATTGTAATGCCAAGGCTGAAAATCATCCACTTGAGTTCGATGACTACTTGACTATTCAATTCTTACCATTGAATTTTTGTCGCGATTCAATAATGTAGCAAACATATCGCAAATCACGTCAAAACAATGAACATATTCCTCTTCTAAAGCAAAAAATTTTAAGTTATTTCGAATTTTCGCGTAAAATTCACCTCCAATAGCAATTTTCGCATGATTTGTAGCCATGATGCAGCATGAGATAATTGCTGGAACTTGAGTTTTCAGCAGCATTTCACATTCTTGATTCAGAATCATTTCCACAAATTCCTTGAGCAGATTCACGCCAATATGACGATGCTCGCTTCTTCGTTTTCTGGGGGAAAAAGGAAAATAACATTTTTCTTGGATTTGAGAATTTCTTACTGCTCAAAAACGGCCCAATGAACGAATCGAACAACAAAAGATGAAAATTCCTCATTATTTTCAAGTTGCAAATTTTCTAGACTATCATTCAACGATTTCTCAGAGTTGAATGGCGTCATTGATGTAAGAGAGCGAAGGAAAAGCCTAAAATTAATATTGAATTTCATTTTTTGCAAAATTTTTAACCTTATTTTGGATATATGACATTCTTCCATCATTCCCAACATGTGATAAGCCCTTCCCATTCCAGAATCAAGCTCCAATGCTTTTTCATAATAAATTTTCGCAATTTGATATTGAACTTGATCTTTTGCCATATAACGATGAAGATCTCCCAAATAAAGATGAATTCGAGATGAATATTGATTTGAAACTGCCAGAAAATCCGTCATTTCACCGCAAAAAATTGTGAGAAGCGTTGAACTGTCGATTTCATCATCGCCCTGTAGTCGAATTCAATTAATTATAAGCAAAATAAATTAAACTAACCCTCAGATACATATTAATTGGCATATAATAGGCAACCTTCCAGAAAAGTTCGAATTTGTCGCTATAATCACCTTCAAGTTTGGCGATTTCCGCCAAATATTTGCGCAACCTAAAATTCAAGCACATGGATTTTCACTGATAAACGTTTTCTCACTTCCGGCGCATCATTGATAATTTCGCCGAATACGGCTCCTCATCTTTGGTCAAAATTTGAAGCTCGTAACAATAACGATCGAATTTTTTCACGACATCCATGGAAAATCGAAAAAAAAACTTGAAGAATGCGAAATATGAGAAATGAAATTCGCGTGGACGAAAACAAAAATAAAATAATGGCCGAGAAAATGTGAAAAATTTCTAGTCCACACGGAAAATTTCGAAGTTTTTATGAGATTTTTCGGAATAAAAAGTACCGCTTCTATTGGTTTCCTTTATTCGTTTTTTTTTGTTCATGAATATTTTGAATTTTACACGTAGATAGCGAAATTTGATAGTTTTTTACTAATAGCCCTATTCCTTCAATAAAAATTACCAATTTCTCAATTTTTAGAAATGCACATTGAATGTTACTTTTACAATTTGTAATAATACATGAATTGTCCTAATTATTCCTCAAACTTTCGTTTTTTTTTCAAGCAATGCGGTCTCTGCTGGAATAGCACGCATTGCGCATTCGACCCCGTATTTCGATTCAATTTTGATGACAAAGAAGGTCATATTGTCAGAAAACCAGAATCGGTTTTAACGTTTCTTGATCTACTACAAAGATCGAATTGACCGAAAGAACGAGCGACCATCGACACTGTCATCTTTTAGCGCACTCATCTTATCAGTATAAATTTGCTGTCGCGCCATTCATTTTCATCATCAATAATTCGCTTTTTTTCCGTTAAACCTCTCAATTCTCAGGTAACAATGGCTAGCGACAATTTGCGGGTAATCTCGTTGGACGAAATTCAAAAGCACAATAGTGATCAGTCATGCTGGATCATCCTTTCCGGAAAGGTGGGTCTCGAAGCGAACAGAATAAAATATTTGGATGTTTTTCAGGTTTACGATGTCACGAAATTCTTAAACGAGCATCCAGGAGGCGAAGAAGTGATCACTCAGCTCGGCGGCCAGGTCACAGTTTCAAATTGCTCTATCTGTAAAATAAAAACCATTCATTTTAGGATGCTACTGAAGCCTTTAACGACGTCGGTCATTCCCGTGATGCTTTAGAAATGACTAAAGAATACCTCATCGGCACAATCCCTGGTAATCATTCTTTTTTCTGTGTTTTCAATTATTGAATACGACATTCACGCACTAATTTATATTTTTTTATTTTTCAATGTTTTCGTCTTTTTTTTTTCATTTTACTAACCCGTTTTTCGTTTAATTTTCAATTATTTCGTCTTATTCGCATAGTTTACAGGTTCATAAAACGACAGCCTTCCGATGTTCACATAATCTGATAAAATTCATGTAAGTTGATTGTTTTCTAGAGTGTGAGTCATCCTCTGTCTCAATTATTTCAGAATTCGAGATTCTCATTCAATGCCTCATCAAGCTGCATTTTTTGTATACATTTATCGCATTTGTATCCTTTATTTTGTGATATAAACATTCGACGTCAGTGCACATTTTTTCCAACAAATTTCAGATGAATTTGTCGTTGGTTTCTCGATTTTCGATTTCTGAGCGAAGAAATCGGACAACTTCCAAAATTGAAGGGATCTTCAAATGGATTCTCAATGAATATTTTGATAATATGAAATTATTGAATAAAATGTTTTAATTCATGCTCAAGTGTTTTTTTATATGTTTGATGAAATATTTGAAATGCGTTTTCGACATGGTCTTACATAAACTATTGCGACATTTTTAAAACTCTAGTCATTTTCTCATGGTTTGAACTTTTCGAATGTATGAAAATGGTTAGAGCGGGCAAAAATTCAAAAGGAAATATTTTCGAATAATTTTGAAAGTGCGTTATATGTAGAAGGCACAGTCAGGACATAACCTAATAAATATCTAATCGACGCAACGCAATTTTTGCTTCAATAATTTTGAAAAAAAAATGCTGCATATTCCTTTAAATCAGTTCATTAAAGGAGCATTAGGTATTATTCTATATGGATATTCTCAAAACGAAATCATTGGTAAAATTTTTTTGAATGAAACCGACAATATTTAAACAGCAAACTTTTGAATTCCAAAATCCCTCAAAAAAAGAATGCGTTGAATTCGTCGATAATAAAGAGTAGTAGAGAGTTTAGTTATCTCCGTTCGTTCGACAGTTAAATTACGATGAACCGTTTGAAGGAAACCGAGTTATGTTTGAAAAAAAAATGAGCGCGACCTTCTCAGTCAAACGGGTTAATGTGGCCGACAAAACTGTACAAGGCGACCTTCGAAATTGCTAAATGAGTGTAGAAAACTGACTGGAAAATATTACGGTTTATTTTGTACAAAAACTTTTCTTTAAAAACTAATTAGAGATTCGTTTTTTTTTTTCAGAAGATGCGAAGCCTGCTGTGACTAAGCCTTCTGGTTCATCCGCTGATGCTGGCAATTCTGGAAACTTTGTGGCTAATTTCAAGGAAATCATGACGTCGCCGACATGGACCAATTTCCTTATTCCGACAACAATGGGCATCGTCATATATTTTTTATACAAAATGATTTTTTAAAATGCAATTCAACATTTTCCTAATTATTTGAATTGTGATTTCTAGTGCATGAACAGTTTGGGCAGCTTTAATTGTTAGAAATGAAGAACGAGTCGAATCTTCTTTGAAAATATTTGATCGAACGAAATTCAAATTACAAAAAAAAACGAAATCCATTACAGATGAATCGAATTTCTAGATCTTTAGTCACCGGATTGAGAAGATTAAGTAATGAAGTTCCGAAAAATTCGAAGAAAATCGACAAGAATAAAATAATGGTGGAAAAGACGCCGAAAGGAGCTCTCGATCAGGTGGAAGAGGTCTACGAGGATCCGTTTTTGAAGAAACATCCAAATGGAATCAACAAGGAAACTGGGGAAGTGAGTATTACTAAATGTGAAGCTTACTATTCCCCTGAATTAAAAAAAATATATTGATATACGGGTTCAAAAAATTCTGCTAAAAAATTTCGTCAAAAAATTGGTGATTGGTTTATGGCGATATTTATTTTTTCTATGGAAATTGAAAAAAAAATTCCACATATTTTGAGAAAATGCTTTTTTTAAATTTAATTAAATTTGTTGGAACCTGCTTTCAAAAACTGAATTTTTATATTAACAGCAAAAAACGAGTGCCATGATCCACACACGATCAATTTGTTTTTTCGAGTCGCCAATTTAAATTCCGATTTAGACGACGGAATTCGGATACCAGAAATCTGCTAATCAAACTCACAAAATCGGCCTAGGCCGCTCGTTTTTTATTGCGATTGTAAATAACAGTTCAATTTTTTTTCAAATTTGCCATTGTAATTTATCTCATACCAGCTTTCTGAGGATAACTAAAAATTGGCTGAGTAATACTTAAAGGCTCATTTCCGCTGATGGACTATACCTATTATTTACACTATTTGGTCTTTAAATACAACGCTATACTTTTCTTAATAGGACCTATTATTGTAAAAATGAAAACAATCAATTTTTTCATTTGAATTCCCTATGCTCGCATATCGAAAATTGATGCGATCTATCGTAATTCTCCGCTATTTATTTTCAAAGGCGCACACGAGAAGTTGCGCGGGTCACGACGCGAAGTCGGTACCGTATTATTTATTTATTTTTTTTAACATTTTTTTACAAAAAGATAAAACAAACGATTTGAAAAAACTCAACGCCGACTAAAAAGAAAAAAAAATAAGCTTTGTTTTTTCTTCATTTTTAATCCAACATCGTCCCAACACGTTTTTTTTTTCAATCAAATAACCCTAAAAATTTGGTGTAAAAAACTCAAAAACTAATTTTGTGGAGGGAATTTGAATTATTTTCTATTGTCATGAAAGGAATTTGTCCTTCGTTTTCGAACCCTCTAAAAATTCGCCGATCGACCATTTCGAATTCTGTATAATCGATGAAACCCGAGAATTATGATAAGAATTGATTAAACCCTGCTAACCCATCTTATCGTAGGGAAAAGCAACAAACCTATCTCGAAATTCGCTTTACCGTTATATCAAACAATCCCCGTTTTTGCAGGTCGGAGGACCCGCTGGCCCAGAGCCAACTCGCTACGGAGATTGGGAACGAAAGGGACGCGTGTCGGATTTCTAATAATATTCATAATAATAGTCTAGATGAGGTCATAAATTCATTCGAAAAAAAAAATGCACAAAGAGAATGTTTTTGGAACATGAGAAGAGAATATTTGAAACAAGATCGGATAAATCGTTTCTCAGCACGAAACAAGATCAATGAGAATTTTGCATTACTTAAAGACAAATTAATGAATTAAGGTGGGGTAGTTGCGGGGAAAAAAAGAGAGAGAGAGAGAGAATGAAAAGCACATTTAAAATGGTGAATGCTGCAAATTGTACGATAAAACGTTAGTGGGTTTGTTTGTGCGTGTGTATACATATAAATGTTAGATATAATTAATATATGCAGAAATACATTAGTATGGTACAGTCGATTAGACCGGTTTCCAATTAAACATGGTATTCGACTTGATAGAGTGTCGCCTTCTTCTCGCCGGATCCCGTCACGATGAGCGAGTCATCGAACGAGATGTCGCAAGAAAGAACAGAACTCGATTCTTTCAATTGGAAAAGCGATGCTCCGTACGGAGTTCGCCATGCGTTTAACGCATTGTCCTAAAAAATAATGGCTACTAATTTTGGGCAATTTAAAGAATTTCTCAAACCTTTCCAGTGGAAATAAAGTATTTTCCAGAATGCGCGAATTTCAGCGAAAGAACACACGACTCATGCTGATGCAGTTGGTACTTCTCGCGTTTGTTCGTCGAGAGAACCTCGACGTTGTTGTTCTCCATTCCGACCGCCACCCATTCATCGGTCGGGCAGCATCCCAAACTGAAGATCTGGCTGTTGAAGTCATGCTTCTGCAATGATACGCCACATCAATTTCGGAATCGTTCAACTCAAATTCTTACAGAGACTTCGCGTCGTTCGCGCAGATCCCACGATCTGACAGAGTTGTCGAGGCCTCCCGACCATAATCGGTTTCCATTCTTCGACAAATCAATGCAAGAAGCCCCATCCTGATGTCCTGGAAGGGAGCCAACCTTCTCTTGAGCCACAATATCATAGAGCAAAATGTTGCCGTCGGCGCAGCACGCGAACAAAAGGCGCTCATCGGCAGAGAGGGCAAGAGCATAGCAGGCTTGAGATCCCGAATCGAGCTCATACTTGATTGACTCAGTCTGCAAAAACAAATATTATTTTCCTCAAATTGTCAATCATTCGACGCATTCTTACAGTCAAATCCCAAAGAGCAATCTTGCTGGCTTCGCCGCCAACCAAAAGAGTGCATCCATCCTCGAATAGTTTGCAACTGCGAATATAGTTATCTTTGAGGCAGTCGAGAGAGGAGACCGGCGCTCGGGTGACGGGCGTTCCGCCATTGGCAATATCGGATTCTCGAATGTCCCAGATTTTAACGCATCCTTTTCCGCCAGTGTACACGCGCGAGTTGTCGCGGGCGATCGTCACCGCGCACACAACTTCGCCATGTGGAAGCTCCATCTTTTTCGCCATTCCTCTGACAAAACAAAATCTTTAATTGGAGGAAAAACCATTTTCGACAACTCACTTCGGAATTCCAGCTCCAGTTTGCGCGTCTGGCGGGAACACCGTCGGCTGAACTCTTCCATCCTCGGTGACACGGAACGAGTACGACGGTTTACCAGTCATCGATAGAGCGGCAGCGAATCTCACCTGAGCATGCGGATCAGTGAACAATCCCATCGGATTTCTACCCTGGAGTGCAGCCATAGGATTCATAGAACCTAAAATTATCAAAATGTGAAAAATCAAACGAGAAAATTTGAAATTAAAAAAATTACCTAATTGCGCGAACATATTCATCGGGTCGAGTGGCGGCGGTCGCGCCTTCGCCAAACTTGGCGTCGATGCGCCAGATGACGTAACACTATTGGTGCTCTCTCGTCCATTCTAAACACCACAAATAAAAAAAATGTCGAAATTGAAAACAATTGCACCTTGGCTCCAGAATTGCAGCTGTTCGAAGCCTGAGCATTACTAGCCGCTGGATTCGCTGTGCCCTCGTCGGTAACATCAATCTCAAGCTCGCCATCCTCGGCGTTCTCGTCCATCTTCATTCGTTTCGCCTCGCCTTGCCCGTTTGACGATGAGGGTCCGTTCTCGTTGGTGCCACCGTTCTGGCCGTTCGTCGCTTGTTGCTGAGCAGCGGCCATCAAGATTTGGCTGGAATTGGAGAGGCAAAAATGATTTATACGACGACAAAACGACGAGGTTCGAGCACTCACACGCACTCACACAACATTATAAGAAAAACAAATTTACAACATCTATTGCTCACCCCATTGCTGCCTGATTGAGCCCGGCGAATCCGGCCATTCCGCCTGGAAACATTCCCATAACCCCGGATCCCGACGGCATACCGCCTGCTGCGTTACCGTTGCTCATTGCTTGAGCAATTTCCTGTGGCGACACTTGTTTGGCGCGCTCCAACGCTGACATTGCACTGTTCTGATGCTCTTGCGGCAGATATTGAATCATCTAGAATATTCGATTCGAAACCAAGATTCGCATAAAAACAAATTATTGAATACCGATTGAATGACACTGGTGTATCGTTTGCATAGCTCTTCCTGTTTTCTCATTTCTGCTTGAAGCGACATTCCCATTTCGCAGTACGCCAGATATGTACGCTGCATGTTATCCTTCTCTGCCGACAATTTCTCCATTTCACTCTTCAAACAAAACATCGATTGAGAAGCAGAAAATCAAAGGAACTCACGCGCTGCTGGCTCAGCTGGTGGCTCATCATTCCATATTCATCCTTCAATCGATCCAAATGTTCTCCGAACGACGATTTCATCGTGTTTCCTGCAAAAAATCGCAAAAATCGACGAGCTTCATTGAAATGAGAAGCGAAAATGAGGATTAATAGTGAAACGCGCGCTCGGGAGTGGAAGAAAAAATATGCAAATTGGTGGTGAGGGCAGCTGCATTAAAAAAAATCGTTTCCGCGTTCCTACCAATTCGATATTGTGCGTTGGAGCGAGAATGCTGCACGACGGGCGAGACACCAGACGGCGGGGTGCCATACGTTAATCGGAAATGTGGTTGGCTCATAACGCTCGGCTCCGAATGAATGAGTGAATGGTGAATGTCGTAAATCGTCAAGCCAGCGAGAATACTTCAATTTCTTTCTTGCGATATTGAGTGTCGTTTTATCTTCTGGAAGAATAATTGCATTTTGTTCGCGATCCTACATATTTCAAATTGCAAGTCAACAGAAAAAAGAAATGAAAAATAACGGGGTCCCATAATTTACACATAAAATAAAATCATGCACAGAATGATAAATATTATACTAACATAGGTCAAATACGGCACGCGCATTTTTAATTGGTCAATTAAATTGATATTTTATGTACGAAATTAGTTATCATTAGAAATATGTCAACAGCAATGCCAGAATGAGATGAATTTTTCAAAAATCATTAAAGTGCAAAATGGGACAAATTATGTTCTTAATTTCCATGAAAAATTAATGAAATCTCATTGATGCAAAAATATAAAATTTTGAATGTTTGCCCTTAGGTCTGCAAACACGTTACAGAAATTTAGGTCTACCGTACTCAACGAAATTAATTGCAAAAAAATTTTGGCCATCTTATTGCCAATAATAAAACGAGAGAATAGGTGTTTTTTTTAAGACAAATGCCACACAGAATGAATAAACAATTCGCATCGTTGGAGAATCCATTTACTAAATGAAGATTGTCACGCGAATATTATCTACGAAGTTCGCCGACATATTTCAGTTTTTTTAATGAGGCGAAATCTTTTATGAGAAGACAGATAGGAAGGAAATCGATAATAATATCAAGGTGTATAATCGGAAAAATGATAACTTTGTTTCATAATAAGTTTAAAACCAATGGGTACAATATACAGATTAAAATACGGGGCTGACACCTCTCGAACACTCATCATCATCATCCGTTTCCATTTTCACCTGAAATTATTTTCAGCCAAAACTTTCATTCAATTTCAATAATCTCACATGTACCTCAGCGGTAGTTCGCTGTTCCTCTCGCACGTGTTCCTCTTCTTCTTCCTCAGGCTCCTCGGTCTGCTCGTGCTCATCATCGGCAACCCGTCTCCGTTTGCTCACGCTCCTAAAAACCATGAAAATAGCCGATTGGGCGAGAAAAAAAAAACGACGAAACCCTTGTTCGACTTCTTCGCCGCCAATTTTGCTTCGAATCACGTCCATGTCAATTCGGAAATCTCGGCAACCAATCGAATTATTCTATTTACAAAAAAAAATTTTGAAAAAAAAAAAATTGGAAAAAACAAAGAAGAATGCATTTTCTTCGCAAAATACCCGAATTTGAATATCAAATCGTTGATCGCCGATCGATTTGCACAAAACCAAAATTTTCGCCTGAATTCGCTCGCGAACTTCGGAAAACTTCACATAAAGTTTCTCATCGCGTTTCGATTGTTGCAATCTGAAAAAAAAAATCGAAAAATCTTTGGGAATTGTTTTTTTTTCGAAACGTCTGAAATTACCGCGTTTTATCGGAGATTCTCTTTTTCAGCTCATCTTTTCCCTTCGAGAATCCGATATGATCATCAACCATTGCCAATATCGGCGACAATTTTGTTTTGACGAGACCGGCGAGTAAATCGACACATTTCCACGATTTCATTTCTTTTCCCCAAGGTTTCGAAAGAGATTCGAGCTAAACCGAATGGAAAAAAAAATACCGAAATACAAAAATTTGATTCAAAAAATTACCAAATCCACCGGCATTCCAAGCATCGCAAAAAACGATGTCAATAATTGCGTGATTTTCTCTTGCTAAAATCGAATTCGAGCAATTCTCTCAACAATTTTTTACCATTAATTTGTATTGCACAAAGATTTGAAGAATTCGCGACACCAATATTGTGATTTGTAGGCACTTTTTAATGAGAATCTCGCAAATTTCCTCAAAAATCGACGGTTTGACGCAAAATTGCTTCAAGAATTGAAACGATTCCTTTAAGTGGTTCATCGATTTCTCGACAAATCCAAAAACGAATTCCGTGGCGACATTCAAGCTTGTTTTCGTAATGAAACTGTATCGAATTTCATCATTCTGAATTGAAAATTCATTCATTTCCATCAAAAATTTTCAACTTCTTCGCTCAAAAATTCGAGAATATTCTCCATGACCGCATTCATCTCATCGAAAACTTCATCATTTTCATCTTGAGATCTCATTGCACAATTTGTGACAAATTTCACAAAATCTCGAAGCATTTGATTATTGTCTGAGAAGAAAACAAAATCAGTTTCAATTAAAAAGAAATAATTTTTTTTAGTTGTAAAGCGACTTATTTTGAGTGCATCGTGTGGATTATTGTTAGATAGAAGAGATCTTCTTGATAGGACCCTTTTATTTTGTGAATCTTGCACACTATTTAAATGTTTTTTTTTTCCAAATTCACAAAATATAAGGGTCCTATCGAGAAGAACTCTTCTACCTATCAATAATTAAAAGAAATTCGAAGATTTACAAAATTGCTCGGTTTCAAGGACTCGAATCGCTCGCCGGAAGATATTTGCCCAAACTTTCACATTTTTCGACATTGCCAACGCCGAATTGGCCGCCTGAAAGTTGTCCGCAGATATTTACAAAAATAATCAACAATATGCTAACCTTCAATATTGCCTTCCCCTGATTCTCAAAAGCCATTTTTGGCGGTTTCTCCTCTTCCGTATCTTCATTTTCAACTTTCAGAATCTGTTTGAACAATTTGCACGAGAGAAGATGAGCATGTCTCAGCTGAAAATTCAAATGTCCCCACAAAAACTCTATTGAAAAAAAATGGAATACAATAAGTATGTTAGCTTCATATCTCTTCTTTCGACTTTCCTCGTCCTCGTCTTCTTTCTCTTCAAACCCTTAACTCAAATGTTCAATTAATACATTTCAACACGAAAATTAGTACACATAGCAGCAACTCTCATTGGCATCATTTTATATTTGACACTCAAAAACTGAAGAATATTTGCGTAGCTTTCAATTGCCTAAAAATTCTGATAAATTGACAGAAAAAAAACGATTGAATTTTACCATAGTTTTGACAAAAGCACCTGTTGGAATGTCATCAATCCACGAAGGAACATCAATGCTCACATAGAAATCGAAAAGACTCCTTAATATCATCGCATATTTGAAAATCATTCAATGTGACCATACTTTTGCAAACTCAAAAGACTATCTGTTCCAGATACTATTGTGTGAAGAGGCCGGTATTCCTAAAACCGTTAGAATTCAACTACAAAATGATTTTTAATCGTCAATATGACTTTCCGAGCGCTAATTTCTTCTCTCTTAGGTATTGTTTCCGACAAAAATTGGAGCATCAAAAAACATTGGCTTTACTTTTTGATAACTACATACTTTGATAAGTGCCAGCGACAGAACCTTGCATCTAGAAACTGTCCAAAACAGTAATTCCATTTGCACATCTGCCAAAATCTCTGGCCGCACGTTGATTGTTGAATGGTTAGCAGTTTTATCAGCATTTTCATCGCTGCAAGACTTGCTTTCAATCGCACTTACTAGCCAGTTATTAGCAGGGCCGCGCGAACGCAGCCCCTCACGCAAAAATTTAGTTGTTGGCGAATCTCAACTCGAGACTGCCACACAGGTCAGCCCATCCCAAAGTGCAATGGAAAGGCCTCGCCGTGGGGATTCCGCCTTCATGATCGCGGAATACCCCCAACCAGGTAAGTTTATGAGCCGACCAACGGCCGTCTCTTATGCGCGCGCACGTCCCGACGTTTCGCGGGTTTCGCCACACACTATGTTTTGTGTGCGAAGGGGGCGGGGCATCGGCCAAGCGGCGTCGGTTGCCGCAGAAAAACGCACTTGTTCGCCAACAATTTCGACATTATCGACGCCAGCGTTTTCGCACTTGTCAATATTTCCGTTTGGCTAGTGTCCAAAGGTGTCTAAAATCGTAATTCTCATCAATTTGTCATAATATAATTACATTTTGCTTGTCAGCAGTTTCAACAATCGTCGCATCCTTCGACTTTGAATTGAATTTCGCGTTTGTTTTCTCCTTCAAAACCTATAAAGCAGGTATTAAATGTGATTCCCATTGGTTCATATGCCTTATCCAGTTCTTTTCGTCGATTCAAAAGTGCTACCAGCTTATCAGCGTCCTCTTTTCTGTGCAAACATGGTTTTGGCAAAAATTTTATTTAAAAAAAAACTTCTCGATTGCTTCAACTCGTCTCCACATGTGCTCAATAAGGACATCATAAACGCTGAGCATCATCTGAGCAAACAACACATTCGATTTCGCGTTCGAATTTGGGGCATTCCATTCAATATTCCGATCGAATCCCAAATCAGTCATATCATTTCGGGTTGCCATTAACACCCATTCCTCCATTTGATTAACAGCCTCGAATTATTGAACATTTTCGAATAAAAATGTTCGTGAAATACCTGTTTCAGTAGCAATTCGGTGCCTTCCGTTTGGAAATTCGGATCGAACGCCACCAGCTCTCCCATCAGACATTCAACCGTCTAAACAAAAAATAATTTTTTTAAAGAAACTCCCAAGAAGGCCCATTATGTAGGTCGGAAACGCAAAATTTCTTCAAATTTTATTGAAAATTGAGCTAACATTGTCAATGCTGGTCAATTTAGGAAATTTGGAAAATAAAACTAAAAAAGTTATTCATAAATTGAGAAGCTTTTCATTTTTACGCGCAGACACGATCCGACTCGACGATGATCGAATAATCGTGAGCGAAGAAAAACGTAAAACGAGTACCTGAATCAAATGTGGAAGGGGCTCGACGAGATTTGTAGATTCCTTGCTCGATGTAATGTAGAATGTGCGGCAAAGCGCAGGAGCTGAAACATTTTATTTATTCAGATAATTTATAATTAATTTGAGCAATATCAAAAATAGTTTAAGGCTTGAATTTTTCGGAGAATCTTGTCCGCAGATGAAAATATATTTGTAAAGTGTCTTCGGGCTAAAAAAAAGTACGCTAACCATTTTTCGTATGCGCAATTAGCATATCCAGGAATTGATTGAGCATTGTCGATGTTTGCGTCGCCAATTCGCAAATTCCATCATAAAGTGCAATTCTGTTAAAAAAAAACAATACAAATTTTCAATATTTGTGAGAAATTCTTCTGGAAACTTTGTGTGCACTGGTTGGAATAGGCAACTCTTCACAATTCCAATGAGCTCGAGCCCAACACTCTGATCGATATTCTTCTTGCATCCCATCAAATCAAGACTTTGCGTACTAAAACTACCAAACGACTGCGACATCGAGTGATCGAATTGCCCGCCGCCGCCGTCTTTTCGTTTGCTGACACTTCGAAGAAGCATGAGCACAATGGGAACTGCTGAGCACACCGTAGTCTCGTTGAGAAGATCCTTCTAAAAATGAGATGCTTGAACATTAATGAATGGTTTGAGCTACGAGCCTTGAGACTCTTAAAAAGTGCAGTTCTGAGTTGCGGTCTCGTATTGATGATCGGTTGAAGGCATCTGATCAAAGAGACCGCGATATCCCTTCTCATTCTGCACACATACTCAAATAGACCATCGATGAGCTTCGAATTATTCAAGATCTCCACAGAACGCCGTTTGACAAGCTCACGGAGCACATCGAAAATTGTGAAATTTTGAAATTAAAAAAAATAAATAATACGGTTACCAATAAGAATGAGAGCTGAATTATTATGAGAAGCTGACGCAATTGCTTTAAACAGCAACGAAAGCTGCTCTTCCATATTGTCTTGAGCACAGCAAATCTGAAAAATTTGCAGTAAAGTTTTTGGTCCTCGATAATTGTCCGCAGATGGAATTCCTATTCTGCTGTCAATCATCCCCGAAGTTTAAATTAATTATTTTCCACATGTGATGACTAAACTCTCCCATGGGATGCTTGTTCATCAAGCCCGACGTACCGTAGTCAGCAGAGTTCTGCACTTCATCCACATCGCGCATCCGTCAGCAACTCGGCCGTCAACAATTACCACCTGAGTCATGCGAATTATTGAGAATAACATTTTCTAATTATCAACTTGTTTTTGGTACGCCGGAGTATCAAGAAGACCAATGAGTAATGCGAACATCGGCTTGCTCAATAATCGCCGAGCCGTCCGATTCTCGGCCATCGAATTCGCGAGATTCTGCATTTGCGAACTGACGATCGGAAGGAATCTATCCGAAACATTCTCCGCCATCCACACGCATTCTTCAGCGATCTCGCCGAACCTCCAAAGCTTCTGAATCGATTGCTTCATTTCAGACATACACTGAAATTTGACGGATAAATGGAGAAAGACAAAAAAAACGATTCTCACATCATTCCTATCCAGACAGCATTGTAAAATGGCAAGAGCGAATCCAAAATCGCTACAAAAAACAAGGGACTTCTCGTTTTTAAGAAACGAGTTGAAACGCATTGCAGCTTGTACTGAATGCGAGACGACGTTGAAGGCAACTTCAAGACATTCAGTAAGTTCGTTCGACACTCTTTCGTCATCCGAATTATGCCACCAAGCCTTCAGAACAGTCGTCCATAGCTGATTTGATCGTTCCTTATCCAAATGAACTGTTAGGAATAGAGCTTTGGACGTGTTCAATTTTCGATCAAAATTCTGCATTTCCACAAGTTCCTGATCTTGTCCAGAATTGACAGCCCAAATTTCATGCACAATTACTTCATCGCACAGTTGCTGCATTGCTTCTATTCCAAATTGATAATCGCTACAATTTTAAACATCTATGTATTATAGATATCAACCAATAATACCATGCAATTTCCACCAAAAGCTCAAAAGCTGTCGAATTTTTGACGTATCGCATCCAATCAAATAGAACATTTCGAGCTATTTCAGCTCCAGGAAGATTCATTTCATTGTATTCTAGCTAAAAATTCAATTATGGAAGAAAAAAAAAACGAATCTCATACGTCATCAATCTCCGAAACCCGTCTGATTATCGAATGCACATAATCTTTCCACCTGAAATTTTTAAATCAAGGGAAAGAAATATGAGTTTCCAAAAACCTTTGATTAAACGGTTTGACTTCTGAATTTTCGGTATCAGCTTCAAAATTCAGCGAATCTTCAAGCATTTTTCGGACGAAGCCTACCAACTGCATCAGATATTGATTGGGCAGCTTGCTAATCTGTAAAAATGTCTGTTACAACAATCACGGAAATAGCATTCAAAACCTGAATGTTGAATTCATTGAACATCCCAAAAAAATGAGGAACAGCAATCGATCGTTTCATGACAATCTCGACGGAAGCAATCATCATGTTCACACAGTGCTGATCCTTCTCATCAGAATCTTCAACGGCCGAGGACAGGGAAAACCTAAGCATAGGGTTTGTATGAAATTCGTCTATTTCATTTTTACCATGCATGAAGGAACTCGTATAGCTTTGATCCTCGATCAGCTCGGGTCATTTCTGTCAGGAATTTCTTGATGCGATTCTAAAACTTCAACAAATCTATTCTAAATATTCCAAACACCAAAAAATACCAATTTATCTTCGGGCTTCAATATCGAATAATTTTTGACAAGCGATCGTTTTATACCTTCGGGCACGTTTTCAGATGTCTTATACTACAAAAAACCCGCCGAAGTAAGCTCAATGGTTCACGATAAATACCTTGTTCGCCATTTTGATCAAAGAATCCACAAATTTCTCACTGCTTGATTGCCCGCCTTGGGTGGCTTGTGAATGGAACATTGATTGTTGGGTGAAATTATCAGAATCCATCTGAAACTTGAAATTTTTTAATGAAATTTTTTATATAAACAGAAAAATTCAAATTTCGCGCGCGGTGGCCGTGGTCGTCAAAATATTAACGGCCATAATTGAGATTTAAATTTTTTTAAATGAAACATCAACTAATTTCAGCCGTATTTTCTTTTTTCAATCGCTAATGTTTAATCGACGTTAAAACCGTGCAATAAACGCATTAGAAAATACTGATTTTTCCAATCCAGATATGGAATAATGCACATTTTATATGATTTTTACATTTTTTGTTAAAAAAAAACAATTTCATAAATATTAGTCGTTGCTGCTGATTGACTTATTAATAAGTCAATCAGCAGCAACGACTTGTGTATTTCGTTTACCAAACTGCTGTCAATCATCCCCCCAAGTATAAATTAATTATTTTCCACATGTGATGACTAAACTGGATTCCTCTCCCATGGGATGATTGTTCATCAAGCCCGACGTACCGTAGTCAGCAGAGTTCTGCACTTCATCCACATCGCGCATCCGTCAGCAACTCGGCCGTCAACAATTACTACCTGAGTCATGCGAATTATTGAGAATAACAATTTCTAATTATCAACTTGTTTTTGGAACGCCGGAGTATCAAGAAGACCAATGAGTAATGCGAACATGCTCAATAATCGCCGATTGTCAAGTAAACTCAAGAAGAATACGAAAAACTCTGTTTCATCCTAAGAGTTTGCCGAGTCATTCAAAAAATTTTTCCCAATTCGAAAAAAAAAACAAACATATTTTAGTTAAATTAAAAGGAAAAATAAACAAAACATTTCATTAATTAAAACTTTATTATACAGGTTAAACAAAAAAATTCGAAATAGTACAGGATTTAATATCTTCCAGTGTCAGGAATGATCTCTATGAATCGATGGCCCAAATATTGTTTATCCTTCATTAATGCTTCATCATAATCTTTGCGGTTGAAGAAAATGACACGAGCCTGAAAACGTTGAGATCAAATGTTAAAATAATTGAAATAATTTTACATCTCCACTCGGCCTTCCGATGTGATCGCGTAGCAATTCGATATGATCAGGGCGAACTGGCAAGAAAAACTGCAAAATCAAATGGCTTATTTCGATAAAAACCCTTATTAAACTCACGTCCATTACTTCACGCTCTGTAGCTCTGAAGGGTATTCCACGCATTCGAAGAACGAAATGCGGACCTCTGTATTCACGGTCCCTAAATTGCCATTATAAAACAAAAAGTTGACTTATTTTATTCAATTTACCTATAACCATATGGATCAGAAGATCTCGAATAACCACGATCCACTCGCGAGAATGGAGCATGTTCTCTTCTCATAGCACCTCCGCCTAAAATATTGCTCATTTCATATTCAATTCGAAATACTGTTAAAATTGCTGAAAGAACTTCAGTTAGCCCTAGAAGAAGCCTCGAATGTGGAAGAATTATCTTCTCAAAAAGTTACCTCAAGAATCTTCGTAAAACCCCCGGTGCACCGAAATCAATTTCATATTTTTACAATTAAGGAGTTTCTTTTCGATAAAAATGCCACAAAATATTCCCAGAAACGTCTTTATAATCGTTTTATTTGCTACCGATAAAATAATTTGCCTAAAAAGGTGATTTTCCAAATTATGAGTGCTTCTTCCGCCCCTTGCACCCCCCGCCTCATCTCGCAACAATTGCCCGAAAACCAAAATGTTAATTCTATTATCTTCGAGTATCCTATTATCATTAAACAAAATGAAATCTGAACTTAAGTCCCCACTAACTCTGGATATCATATTTAATGCTCTACCATTCTCCCATTTTTGCAAAAATATCGCCAATACGAAAATGAGTGCCACCCGGTTAATGTGAAAGGGCTTAACGTGTTTCGGCGCACCATTGAGACCTCCCAATGAATCGCTAATCCTTTTTCATCTCATCCTCCAATTCCCTTACCTTCTCTTTGGGCGTATGGTTCATTTGGATACCCATAAGGATCAGCCCTAGCCGATGGCGGCCCTCCTTGTGGTCCCCACGGATTCGGACCATTATAACTTTCCGATGATGGACCTCCCGCCGGTCCGTTACTTGACCGCCAATTTCCCTCATATTGATCCCGCGAATCGAACCTTGGATCACGCGAACCTCCATAATCCGAAAATCTGAACAGGCAACGCATTTGCAAAAAAATTAGAAATTTTCTCATTGCGTAACTCGTAAATCCACAACACAACACACCAAAAAGCACCTCTTCTACTTCTTAATTCTTCAATAACTGACGAATTAACTCAAAACCCCCTCCCCCAAATATCATTGTTTAAATCTTATGATTTCAACCTACAAAAATTTGATCTCAGAAAAAATCGTAACAAGAGTTATATTTCTCGAAGACTTATAGTAGTGGTGATTTTTTAAAAATACTTTTCAAAAACACAAGATTTGCCAGAATCACTTCAAAAATGCCTCAAATCTATAATATACCGAAAAAAATCAATCGGATATGGACTATTTGCCGATTTTCTTGTTAAAACACCCCAACACACAATTGTCTTAATATTGCCTTTTCTTTGATCTGCATCCAATAAACTTCGCTCTTAAGCAATTCCCGCTCTTCCCTTATATCCTTTTCAACCATTCGAAAGTTTTTATACCTGGATTCCTGTGGTGCCGATGGGCTATACGGATCGTTCGATCTTGGAAACGAATCATAAGCCGGCTTCGATGGTCCGTACGGATTATCGTAGTATCCACCTCCTGGTGGCGCCGTGTTTCTCGAAGCGTATTGATCCTCATATCGACTTCCACGAGACGGATAATCAGACGGAGGACCTCCTGGTGTTCGGCTTCCATATGGATCGCTTTCACCACGAGACGGATATCCCGAACGATAACTATCCGGCGGAGTTGAGAATGCTGGACCATTATAAGGACCGTTGCCTGATGAACCGCTACCTCCTCCTGGCACTCCTCCAACAAATGGTGAAGGTCCTAACCGAGGCATACGCAAGCGGAACTCGTTGCAGAAGTTGGACAACTCGTTGTAGGTCGCCTCGAAAACCTCAATGTATCTAAACGTATAATTCTTTCAAAAATAGTTGACAATCAATAATTTTACCGGTGTCCAATATTCTTCATATGCCTTTGAAGAGCAACAGTTGAGCTGTCAGGATGCTCGAACACAACAAAAGCTTCTCCGTTTGTCTTGTGTTGACGTTGGTCGGGAATGAGAACTCCGTCGCGCACAATTGCGAGAGGAGCGAAAAAATCGATAATATCACGGACTGTCGCAGAAAATGGGAGCCCGCGAAGACGAATGATCCCCTCTTTTCCGCCTCTCGGACCAGGACCTTCTCTTCTATCTCTCTCAACTAAATTTATATTATTTCACACAATTCCATGACTAGTTAGAATACGTACTGCTTCTTCTAGGATATGGATCGCGATCGTAGCCACGACCTCCTCCACCACGTTCTAAACGGGTATCCCTATCGCGTGGTCCTCTCTCAGAATCCCTTCTCGGCGGTCTTGCAGAATCCATCGGAAACACTTCGACATATCTCTGACCCATATACTCTCGATCTTTTTTCAAACCCGCACGATAATCTTCTTCAGTTTTGAAGCAAACTATCGCCTCTCCTGTCGCTTTTCCGCCTCGCCGTGGTATATCAACATATTCAATTCCGCTTTCTTCTGAAAACAAATTATTTTCACTTCGCCGAATCTTTCGACTTCGAGAAACCTCCGAAAAACGCCTTTAATTGCTCATCGGTGCATTCCCATGGCAACCCGCGGCATTGAACGAGAAAGCTACGCCCCATCTGTAATTTTCGAGTATGAGTAAGCTAGTTAAATGACAAATTCGAAGGAAAAATGTGCTATTTTAAAACGCAAAGTGGGAATTGAGCAGAGCACGAAAAGGGCCTTGTCTATCGAGGAGCACCAGAAGTTCAAAATCATAGAAATTTCGAATAATTTTCGATTTGACCAAAATTTTCTAGTTTAATGCTCTGACTTTTGATGTTTTGAACAGTTGAACTACTTGTTATTCAAACTACCATAAGAACTAACAGCACTCGTAAAGAGCCCCTAACAAGGACAAGCGAACAAATTAGCAATCGTAAGTATGCAAAACAACGCTGCTCGTCAAATCTAGTGCATTGTCCGCAATGGTCCGTAAACACTTGGACATTGAGCTCACACCGTACCCCGAACGAATAACCCTTTTCCGAGCAGCCATCTGGACGCCTTTTATGGGCTATTTTCGCATTCTCATTTCACTAAAGGGCAAATAAAAGCTTCTGCGGATATTCAAAATCCTATTTGACACAAGTATCGCGGTTCAAAAAAAGTTTGTTCTGTTTTTGTTGTATTTACAGGAAGTGAAGAATTTTTTTCATCGAAAATTGGTTCGAATTATCTAACTGTTTTCATCCAATAGTTCCATCTCTCTATTTTTCCGAGTTTTTTCCATCAAAATATTCCAAAAACACGACCAAAATAATTGCGCTGAATCATTACAGGTGTCGAATTGCCAATTATATCAATTCCTTGGAGAATTTCGCGCTTCTGCGTCCCTAACATTGTCCGAGGTGCCTTCGGCAGCGCAAAATAGAAGTCTTTAAAAGGGGAAATAGACAAACGAAGGAAGGAAAAAAGAAAAAGAGAGAGAGAGAGAGAGAGAGAGAGAGGCGAGAGAATTGGCGAGGATGCTCCCGGCCGCATGTGCCATCGCGTTTGGCCGAGGCGGCGCTCTCTTCCAGCTGCTTTCTCCGTCTGCCGTCTCTCGCCGCGCGCAATTTATCGATTCAAAGGGGCCGTCCCCCCCCCCTCGGGTGGCGAGCTGCGAAGCAAGACGCACTCGTAGTATTTGGTCCGCGCTCGGGGCGAGCCAGCCACCCGTCCGATTTCGTCGTCTGGAAACCAATTCTTTCTCTCGATCCCTCTCTCTTACTTCCATCACGTTTTTGCCAAAATTCATTCGAAACAAAAACAAGCGCGAATTCCGCTCATTTCAGCTACCGCCCAATTCGTTCTTTTCGGCATTGTTATCATTAATCCCTCCAATTCTATTAATAATTCATTGTGCTCGAAGATTAAACGATTTTCACATGAATTATAATTTGCTGGGAAACAATTGACGCCGAGGTGATTCGATTCCAAAAAGTCAACACCAAAAATAGAATGAATGCAACAACAAAACAGCAAAAGAAACCTTTCCTTTTTAAAAGTTCAATGAAGAAAAAGAAATGAAATCGAAAAAAAACGGGTTTAATTGGAAATTGCAGGCTCGCCTAATGAAATTAGAGTTTGTTGCGTGTACGCGTTTTTCCTTCTCGCTTTAATGAATTCTTTAAATAAATCCAATTTGATCTACGAAATCCGCGAGCAAAATTGAAAAAAAAACAACTCATTTCCCCCTTCATCCTCTCATTCTCTGCTCGGTCCCTTCATATTTCATCGCAGTCTCGTTTATCGTTGTTCGACAACGACAATTATTGTGTGTTTCAGCCATGGACAAGACTGATATGCAAAGAACCGTCGAGTCGCTTCGCAGCCAGCTCAACATCGAGCGCACTCCGATCAGCATGTCGGCCGCTGAGTGAGTGCTCGCTTGATTGGCACCCTTATGAGCGTTTGAATTTTCAGACTCCGCCGATTCACCGAGAGCCAGGAGGATCCGCTCGTCAACCCAATTGACAAGAAGGTCAACCCATGGGCGGAGAAGAGCAAATGCTCGGTTCTTTAATTGGACATCATCACCATCTTCCTGTTTTATATATGGATTTCGAAATAATTCCGTCCTTCATTCATAATATTTATATATTTACATTCATTATTGTTTCTTACAATTTCGATTTCAATTCAATTTAACAACAAACCAACAATAAAGTTTCGCTTCAAATTCGGATAGATTTACAATTCTTCGTGATCATATGGATGATCATCGCCTTCTCGAGCGGCGTCGGTTTTCGCGAACAGCAAGTGATGATTAATGATTTCCTCATAAGACAATTTTCCGTCCTGAAAGAAAAGGAATTCGAAATTTGTCAGTAGTTATTTTTTGCTACTATGAAATTAAATAGAATACACAGAATAAGAAAACACACTGTTTCATTTCTAGGCGTAACTATTAAATTCGCAAAAAAACGAGTGCCCTGCGAGGATTTATGGCGAGTTTGATTCGCAAGTAATCTAGAGTATGGTATCGGAATTCCTACTATCTAAATTCGAATCTGAATTAGCGCCTCGAAATAGTGCGATGGTCCACAATTATGCAAGGTGATCGTTTTTTGCGATGGTAATAATTTTCTGACAGAATAATCAACTAAAATAAAATAATTTTTTTTTAATGTTTGATACTCAGCCAACGAATGAAAAAACAAAAATTCCTTATTGAAATCGTTGCACGCAGAAGTCGTCTGTCTTCGACAATATGTGTTAAAGTTATCAAATATCTGATTGAGGGTATTTTTTGAAAATAAACGTAGATAAAAAAAAACTTTAAAAGTGTTTCTTTTCAACGTTTTAATTATTCCGCTTTACACGTTTCATTTCCAAAACGATTAAGAACATTCGAATTAGACGTCAAAAAATGTTTCCTCAAGGCCGTATTTTCAGTTAATCAAATCGATCTATTGTGATCGGACACTGACATAAAAATATGTAAATTGTGTTTTTTTTCTGCTAACGTGACTCACAGTGCACGATCTCGTGACGGTTTAAGATTTTGTATTTTAATCAGAATTTCCCACAAAATAAAATAATCAAAATGTTGAAGCCATTTGCTTACGGCTTTTGCCCAAACATAGATAATAAAATTTTTTATGCTCACGTCATCTTCATCGGACATATCGATGAGATGTCTAGCTTCACTTTCTCCGAAAACCGTCGGACCAGGAACCAGCCATTTTTTGATTTCGTCACCAGTCAATTGTCCGTCTTTATCGGTGTCATATTCGTTGTAAAATCTGCAATAATTAAATACGTATACATATTATTTATAGGAGTATTATGCAATAAATCACACATCGCGTTTCGTTGAACACACTGGGTACGCGTCGAAAGTTCAGCGGCAAGCCGATTTGAATCGACCATGTGATGATATAAATACGTTCTCACCTATCCTTTTCAATGTTGTACCATTCGCTATTCTTCTGGTCGGCAATGTCGCCCAAATATTCGCTTAAACTGATTGCGTTGTCGTGATTTTCGTCTTTTTCCATAAGTGTGACCTTCAATAGAAAACATTATTTCCTTATTTTCATTGAGTTCGAATAAATTCACCTTCACAATTACATCATGCATGTGCTCGTTATTCTCCGGACTCAGGAATGCAGTCAATTCCTTGAGATTCAACTTCCCATCCTTGTCAAGGTCCGCTTCTGAAGTGAATTTGCAATTCGAAATATCGATTTTTTAAATTCTTACGTTCAAAATACAGCCGATCCTGCTCTTGTAAAATGTCGTCGCCTTCATTTTTGAAATTAGGCTGAAAAGCATCTAAAACGTACTCCTCCCATGTGACCTGAATGAAATTTCGTGATCGAAATAATGCATGATATTCTTACAAATCCGTCTCCGTTGACATCGTACTCATGCATTCTGTCTTGAGCTTCTCGAATGTCTGCGGAAACAAAAGAACGATTGATCCAATTAAATAATTCATCATAATCTGCAAATCATAATTCGACCATTCGGATTTTTTCTTTTTAACACTTACCTACAAACCCGTCGCTGTTAGTGTCTAATTTCTTTGCAAATTTCTCAACGCTTTTTCTTCCTTTATTTTCCAATGGTCTCGATCTATAACTGATCCGATCCTCGGGTGTTGTACCACCATCAAACTAAATTGCCTTTTTTTTAGTTGGTTTTGCTAATAGCTTTTTACCAGTCTTTCTTTTTCGCAACTTACTAATGCTAGAAATGCAGTAAGTAAAATTACGACACGTTTTGAATTCATGATATCTGAAAATATTCAAATAATAAGGTTTCACAAAAAATCGAAGAGAACATCGAAGAATTTAAACTCTATGCGACCATATTGCATTTATTCCTGCCGCGGGCATTGTAGACCACGCCCACGTTATTTTTTTTTAATTTTAAGCTTCAAATAATTTGTTTTTGATTAATTAGACATTTAAAAAAATGAATGAGATAATATTCACAAAATCTTACCGTAAATGGTGATTTAATATTATGAAATTTGTCGAAATTCCAATGTAAATTGACTTTGTAATTTTCAGAATGATAAAACGAGTCGAATTTGACGGAAAGGTTTTTAATAAAGGATTCTCTGGTTATATCCTGTATTCAACAAATAGTGCATGGATTTGGATTGGAGAAAAGTAAAATTTTAATAATATCATTTTAATGAATGCTCAATTTTAGGTCCATAACATCGATCGGCCTTGCGAATTTCCCATTATTCTCAATGCTTTCTGACGGCGGGAACACTCAACGTGAATTCATCAAATCGGTTGCACTAAGGCTCACGAAAAAGTCGCGATTTGCGCAGGTAAGTCCTATTAATATAATAATATTTTCGCAAATTTTGTTTCATTTCCAGATTTTCTTCACCACCGATATCGAATGCGAGGACGCTATTTTTTGGAAAGAACTCAACGAGCTGATGACAACGAAATTGACAGAATTAGCTGTGGAATAGGCCAAGATAATTAATGTATTTTCTCTTTTACGGGTTTTGGGATAAATTTGAAGAGGATAGAGAACCCATATGTGATGTTATAATGCAATTAATAAATCTGGAGCAGATTCTGAGCAAGTCATTCATTGAATCGTACATTCACCATATTCTTATTAAAATGTCCGAGAATAATTCTAACACTGAAAATAATCTGAAATCGAAGTTAAAAAAGATGGGCAAAATGGCGCTTCCTCATATCGGTCTCGCATTTTTTCTATTCCTTTATTTACTTGCCGGTGCTTATGCATTTCATTATCAAGAATACGAAGCAGATTTAAAAATTCAAAAGGCAAAGCTTAATATTATACGTCAGGTATTTATGGAATTTTGCTTCAATGGAAGCAAGTAGTTTCAGAGGTACAGAGATATTGAAGATGCAGTCAAAGAATCCATCGGGGATGATGAAAAATTTGAGAAATATCAGGAAAAGCTGTTCGAGCATCTTTCAAGGTATGGAATTTTTGAATTTTTTTAATCAAGAAAATGCATTCGTTTAGTTTATCAACAATACATGAAGGACGCGAATTCGTATCATCGTCATCCGAAATCGACGAGACCGCGCTTCCTCCAAGATGGTCTAAAAGAAGTGCATTTTTATTTGCACTGAGCATCTTGGTAAGCGGTTTTAAATCAATTTAAACTAGTCATTTGATTACTTTATCAATCTAATTTTCACTACGTTATTTTACCATTGAAGTTGGCTCGACTACCAATGCCGAAAACGACGACACTTGTAGAAATCGCTCAAACTCGGCGTGCCGTTAAAAATTCTTATACGGCATTAATTATGTTGTAGTATTAAACTAGATTTGAAAAAAGTTGCGAAGAATTTCAACAATTTTGCGAAAAAATTGAGGGTTTTTTACGTGGCATTCTCATTTCTTAAAAATTCTCGAGTTTGGGTGGTATCTTTGAAACAAACTTGTTGTTTTGTTTGTCAAATGCAATACTTTTAGTTGATGAAAATGTTTGGAATGGGCATGAAAAGAAAATAATTTTCTCGAATATTCCCTAAAAAGAAATATGAATTATATATGCGTGGCAGGATGGATTCAGAGAAAATAAAACTTCATAGTAAATGTAATTATTATTTGAATAACTCAAATGGAGAATACATGGGTAAAATGGCAAATAATGTGGGGCATTGGGCATATGGACACATATAGGTCCAATATGGGCGCTATACGTCTCCTCATCTTCGAGGTTTCGCGGGAATGCTATACGTTTGTGGTCCCATGGTTGTTATTCCGTCGGTAGCATATTTTCTTCGTATTTGGACTCTATATGGTTTCACGTGACTATTATTGGGTTGAAAATGTCATTGTTGTATCCTATTTTACCTCCTAGATCGAACAATATTCGTTTCTTTATTACGTGTCCACCGCTTTTTACCTGGTAAGATTTAAATAATTATATATTATAATAATTCATATTTATATCGAAACACTTGGGGCCCTTGAATCATTGCTAAGAAGATGTCGCTGGAATATTCACAGTTTCAGACAACTACTGGATACTCATATGCAGTTCCTGTGACCCCTTTCGGTCAATGTTTCGCTATGATCTACGGCTTAATCGGGATACCTTTAATGGTTTTGGCGGCTGTTGATTTCGGAAGATTCCTGTCTCATATTGTTCTTGAGATTTACTCGAAATATCACGAACTACTCCATAAGTTGAGAAGCATTAAACGAGGATTATATCGAACGTAAGATTCTCAACGAAATTGGGTGTTCAATTTGCGAATTTTAAAGGTACAGTCGTCGAAAAATGTCGACAAGAAGCCGAGTTTCGGTATTCCATCGGCTCATTCAAGACAATTCAGCGAACGCGAGCTCAAATGAGTTGAAGGAGAACAAAGAGGAAGAGCAGACGGGAAGCACGAACTCGGAGATTCCCGAGAAACGCCTTCCATTGGTCATCAACGCTTCGATTCTTCTCATCTTTTGCATGCTAGGCGGAATTTTGTATATCTCTGCAGGTTTTCGAGAATGTTTTTTTCGTAAAAATGAGAAAAATCAAATTAATCAAGGTGGAAAAGCGACATTCATCGAATCATTCTTCCTAACGTTTAATTTGGTGGCGAATTTGACAATGAGCGAAATGCCGAATGAAATGAACCATATTCTCACAATCATTTATATTTTTGTATTCGTCACATGCGGTATTTTTGGTTTTTTTTTCAAATCACCAAATTCATACATTTTAAAGGTGTCGCTGTGTTGTCAATGAGCGCTGAGCTGGCTGCTCTGGAATTGAAAGAATTGTTCATGAAAATCCACTATTTCGGGCGAAAAATCAATTTTTCGCGAAATCGCACCAAAAATGAGCAAATGGACGTGAGGAAACGCGTTGAAATTGACACAAAAAGAGATTTTTTTAGGTTCAAGTCAAAGAATTGCTGATAATCATTGAGGAAATCCGGAAACGGTATCCGGAAAAAGAGAAAATCACAACGATGGACATTTTGGAGGTGAGAATTTAGCAATAAAAATCTCAAATTTTGCTGTTCGAGAAACTATTCGAAAAAAAAAAGCATCGTTGCTAGTCATTTTTAATACGAAGACATTCGAGATTTCAGTATATGCACGAGAATGCGCCGCCGGAAAAGATCAATGAGCGACGAGACACGATCGCATTCATGCCACAAACAATGGAGGTGATCAAGTTCGCCGATGAGCAAGACCTCGAGGAGCGCAGTTTCAGTCGGCATGAGACCGATGCCCCATTGTCAGCAAAAACTATCACGTGAGCAACTTCCTATTTGCTTTCAAAAAAAAAAACCAAAAACCGAATTCATTGTTTTTGACGTCGCGCCACCTGCGGAAAATTGGCTAGATTCCAAAAAAATCAAGGAGAGGTCTTGATAGGCAGCGTGCGCCTTTAACCTATCCTACGTAGGCCCATAAATCGACACTTTTATTTTTTGTTGTGTCTTTTGGAGAACGCCAACTTATGAATACGTTTTTTTAGACCCCAGAATTTTCCGTAATACATCTTATAGTCGCGCGATTTCGACAATACTAACTTAGTCAGCCGCATGGGCTCGTTGAGATTTTCCCAACTTTAACAAATTTATTTCGATCTCACCCAACACCGTATTTACAGTAAAATGGCATCAGTGATCGATGTGATGAGCTTCTCGCCGGACGAGAACATGGAGAAACGATTTAAGCGCGAGTTGCGTAAATACACGGCAGAAACAAAAATAACCGGAAAGAAGATTTCATCAAAGGCCGTAAATCTCTAGCAAAAATAATAATTCATCACAAGACATCGATATCAAGCAAACAAAAATAATAATAATTTGGGGGGAGATTGATGGTCCGAAAAAGGAAACAATTCGAATAAATTGTTCATGGTACACGAAACAAAATCGTTCATAAATACTCGTATAATAGCAAATCGGATATCGAAAATCATAAGAAATGAAACAAGAACACATGGAATATTTGAAGATGATGGTCGGCAAAAAAAAAAGAAACCAGAGAGGAGAATTGAAATTTAAGAAATGATACGCTAGATGAATCGAGAATCAGACTTTATCACGGTTGTTCAGTCTGTATTTGTACACGAAACCGTCGCCATCCTTCTCGAAAAGAGTCGGATTCCAGGTCTCACCGCGCTCATGGCGCTCCTATAAAATGTAAGTGGTTTTAAAAACACTAATTGAGACCAAATTAAAAGGAGCATGACCCGAAAATCTACCTTAGCTTCCTTTCGCTGTCTTTGCTCGATGATTCTTTTCGATGTCGTTGCAATCTGAATGCGATTTCTCAACAATGCCGCCGTCACATGCCTCCACAATCTACAACAATAAAAACGACTAGTTTACAGATTTTCGCCTCCAGATACCTTCGGCTTTCTCGTTTTCCCTGCTGCATCACCGGAACACATTCCTTCTTCACTTCCGGAATCGCCTTCACATCCAAAAACGTGTATTCTTCGCCATTTGGTGGCTTGGCATACATCACGCCATTCCATTCACCGCGAATCGTTAAAATCGGCTTCTTCAATCCTTCCCTAAATTAGTCGATTGCATTAATCGATATAATAAAATTCCGAATCGTACTTATAAATGGAACCCTGAATTCGATGAGGTTTTCCGCCAAAGAACGGCTTCGTCAAAAATTCTATATCTGCATAATAACCCGTCTTGGGACAAGCGACCTTCACCTTAAATGATTTTTATTTCTCAATTTGAAATACAATGTTCGAGAAGCCCACTTTTCCTCCTAATTCAACCCAAGGTGTCGACATAATTGATCTACCGTATCCGCTGGGAAATGTGAACGTGTACTGTTCATTGTTATAGCGATGCAGTGTGAGGACACCTTCACCAAGGTTTTGCACACCAATTGACAATCCCAAGAATGAAGATTTGGTGTAGATATGGGCGTTGAATGAGATTCCTTGAGATGGGACTTCGGCGTAGAACGCCGAGATTGGCGGATGATGCGAGACCTGCTCAGCAATGAACGTCAACTGATTCTCATTGGATCCCGGCCACGGTCCGGCTTCGGTCTTCTTCGGCGACGGCGTCGTGTTCGGCACAGTGTATCGACATCTAAACGTCTCGCCGAGAATCGGATTGTAAGGCTTTTTCGCGACACCGCTTTTACGCGCCGCGTAGAACGCATTCAGATAATAACGGACAACGGCGCTGAAGAAGGAAATCGGTGAATGATAAGAGCAACAAAAAAAAAGAAACACCAACATCATTCGTTTTTCCGGTGTCTCAATTCCAGTGGTGCTCACAAACATATCAGGATGAGCAAAAAAGTCCGCGTACATCTCCAATAGTGATCTTCTTTCCAATATGAATGTCGGCAACGTGACTTTTGTAAGATCCATTCCGACCGAGACCTGGAATAAATCCAAAATTTTTAGCACTTCAATGAAAAATAGAAAAATAGTGACATTTTTTCGAAAAATCTCATGTCAAGAATTTTTGAATGATTATTTTTTCATATTTATTGACTAAATAGTGTTTCGATTGCTCACTACCCCATTTTCAGAATATTTGAAACATTATAGGATCGTTGTTTTGAGCATATTACAATGCCTACCTGACTGAGTAAATGCATCAAAACCGATCCGTGCTCCTGCTGCACATCTCCAACGTCATGCTCCTCTGCATTATTATAAATCTCATCAAAATCCTCATTAGCATCCCCAAAATCGATATCATCCTCTTCCTGAAAACCATCAAAGATTAGTAAAAACATTTTCAAAAAAAAAAGAAACAGTGAAGTGAAATTATTTCAAACCGTAGACATAATTTCTGGAGTCGTATCGACTTGTTCGCCCTCTTTCTCCGTCACAATGTCCAAATCAATGAGTTCTTCGTCGGCGTCGTAAAATTCCTCCTCGTCGCTACTGAAATACGAATCATTTGCTTTTTTTATTGATTATTAAATGATTTCGTTTAATTTTTTGGCGAATCATATCAAATAAATGTTTTAAAAAAATCAAAATGTTAACATTTTGCATCTTTTATATGCCAATAAAATCTCAAATAGGCACATCAAATTTCAAAATCTATTTTAAGATTGGAAAAAAACCTTTGCCCGCAATGAAACTTGATATGCGGACAAATCTATTTTCAGCCGAATTGCAGACAAGAGAAGAAAACAAATGTGAGTATCTTTAATCTGCTGGCGATTAGCCTCTTCCCATATATTATCAAACCAATTTTGCTCACCTTGCGTATGATTCGACTCGCTGATGCTGGGGTTTGAGGTGTTCAAGATGTTCAATCGACGAGATCGGCTTCTCGTTACCGTCGGCGGTCTTGTTGCTCGCTGCCGCTGCTGCTGCTCCTCCAGCTCCAGCTGTCGTGCTCACCAACTCTTTCGCCCCGACGTTGTCGGTCTGAAATTGCTTAATTCAGTTCAAAAACATCAGTGTTCCAAAAAAAAAAAAAACAAGTTTATGGAGAAGAAGAAATTCACTGACGTCTTGTTCGGAATCCGACAAGCCTAATGAGCTCGTCAGAATCGGCTATTCTGCCAAAAAAAAACTCTGTGGTTAACACCCTAATCGGTCACGTTTGAAGAACAAAAAAGGGCACGCGGCAATCTTTTTTGTGTTTGTTTCGCAGGAAAGAAAAACGAAAAAAAAAAGGAAATGCGTAAAAATCTCATAACGGACACCCCCAAATAGGTCGATTTCGGGACACAATTTATTGGAATTTGAGACGACCCTTAAAATTCTAATCTCAACGATAGTAAAAAAAAGGGGGGGGGAGGGAAAGAAAATGATTTTTTTTTGAAGAATCAAGGCTTTCAAGAAAATTAGATTAGCACCCTGACAAGACATAATTGTAAGAGCAATTCAAAATGAAAAATGGGTCTCGAAGAAGCAATTGAATTTGAAGCTTCCAAAGACTTAAAGGAACATAATAAAAATATTGAAATGAAACTTCTCGCGCATAAAACTTCGGTTTGAAGAAAAGCTGTTTATCCAAGTTAGTTTGAAGTCGCATACCCATAAATCTTGCTCAACTAGATACCTTGAGGATTCAGCGAATTGATGGTAGCAATACATAGAAAACAATTTGTAAACCCGCAGAATCGCCCGAAAATGGCCCAATCCAAAAATAAAACAAAGAATGAATAGGGAAGTTTAAGCTATTTTCACTATCTTAACATTTTATACGCCTAAAATGAAAATTTCAATGTAAATAATTCATCTCAACGTTTTATTTTCCGAATTTAGCTACATCTGACGGATTTGAACGCTCTAATGGTATGAAAAAGGAAAATTGGGAGTTTCGAGTTAAAATGCAAAATTTTGACATAAGTTTTTACGACGAGGAAAAATTATCCTTCACATCTCAGTACTAACTGAAATGTGAAATAATTTTAAGAAAGAGAAAAATAGTAGGAAAACAATCAAAAATGTCGAAATAAATGCGAATTTGAGAAATGGCAAATAGGCGGCAGTAAGTGAAAGTTTCAACAATTTGATATAATGATGAAAAATCGGAACAATGTCAAGAGAAACGTCAAGGTTGTTGAAATACATGGCTAAAAATGAAATATGAAATCAATATTTTGAAAACGCGAAATTAATCGACAAAAAATTTGATTGTTTTTTCACTAAACGATTCAAATTCTTTTAAAAAGACACACACACATTATGTTTTTTTCGAAATTTGCCGAGAAAAATTATCTGCAAAGAAAAACCGATGGCTAGCGGAAACGATAGAGGTCGTCCGACTCTTCTTATCATCAATTGCTTCACACTGCTCATTTCTGCGTAATGAAAACACAGCGGACACATTGTCGAAACAATTAAAATGCAGTAAATCGCAGAAAAAAAAACTACAAATTTTGAGCATGCTACTTTAAACTGCGATTTGATGGCTACAATATTACAGGAATGGAAAGATTCAGTAATTGGTATTCTTGTTAGGGTATCGTTTAAAGGCGCACAGTGAAAACCAACAAAATTTTAAGTTACGTCACTCAATTGAAACACCAAAAAGGTTTTCGGTGATACCTACACTCGCGAATATCCATTTTGCGTGGCAAACTAGTTCTCGTGACATCATCAATCAACAAAAGTTTGAGATTTAAGAAAGACGAATCAATGAATATTAATAACAAATTGGCGGCTACTACATAGTAGAAAAAGAACACAAATAGTGTTTGTACAGCTGATAAATCAACACGAATTTTGAAATCAGCGACGGTAACCCCACCTGATTCGCATCGAACTCCAAATGAATCATCTTCTCCAATTTGATGTCTGGATTTAAGCGAGCTTGAAGCATCTGAAAATTAAAATTTTGAGAATGCTGATCATTAAAGAAATTCTGATCATTAAAAAAATTTTGTTTCTGTATTTTTTATTTCGAGTCAAGAAAAAATCTATTGAAAACTGAAACATAAATTTTAACGATGTTGAAAAATCGCAATAAAGAACTATAAATAAGTGATATAAATGTATTTTGGCGAGAAACTATTTTAGAAAAAAAAATTTTGAATAAGAAAATCCTCAAAATTGAGTGATTCGATCATAAAATCGCTTCATAACCTATCGGATGTTGAATGATCAACATGTCAATCAAAAAATTGCGATTTGAATCGACGCACCGGTAAATCCGATAATTGCACTTCGCATGTCATTTATATAATAATCCATGAGTATTTTTGAGCAAAATGTTAATCAGAAGGGCTCCGATCGGGCATTCCTTTGAAAAATAAAACATTTTTTTATGAATTAAAAAAAATAAATAAAATTGCGATTTTTTACAAAAAGTGTCATAAAATCTGAAGAAAATAAAAAAAATTGAAATATTGTAAACTCTGGAATATGACAAGTTGATAAAAATAGTCATATTTGCACAATTTCTGATTCCAGAAACTAGTTTTTTTTTCGGTACGAAAATTCCAACAAAAAAGGCGAACCTGGAGGTATATAATCGAGTGTTTTACTGTATTCAGCAGGTTGTTTGTCGTCGCAATAACATCATCAATCGTTCTCTTTTCAACACTTCCCACTTCTCCATTGTTCTTGATTTGCTCGAGTTCATTAACCTACAGAATCAAGCATATTTCGAAAATGCCGTTTGATTTACAACTGAATACCCTCGAAACGAGATCTTTCAGCAATTGGTTGGCTTCGTCCGTTTTTTGTTTGAAATGGTGAAGAGGTGGATTGCTGGCCGAGGTGCCGGCGCTCTTGTACCCGCTGAACGCAAAAATTGAATTTTCGGTGGAAGAAATGAAAAAATGAAATTACTTGAGGACTCGGATCGTTTGTTCAAGTGTCTTCACCCACTGGTTTCTTTCTCGGACATCGCGACCCTAAAATTGAAGAGAAATTAATAAAATGTTTGATCAGATGCTCGACCATCGATTTGTCATTTTCCGTTCTCATTTTTCAATAAATTTTTTGATTTTGTTTCAAATCTACAGAAAATCAGATATTTTCATATTTTTTTAAAACGAGATTCTAATAATATTGATAATCTTCGAAGATAGCAGTTATCTTTTAATAGAATCTTTTTGTTTACTTTACACTCTGAAAACAATGAATTTCATTCAATTTTTGCTAAACCAATAATGTTTGTATGATTCCAATTTATCAAAATTTAAAATATCTATATTTAAAAAATTTCCATATTTTAATTAGGAAATATTTCATACTATTTTTGGTTTTCTTTTTAATTAAAAATTTGAAAAATAACTCGTTCATTGTAATATTTCTATTTATAAAACAATTTCTCAAAAATATCAAAGAAAATCTGGCGTTCAATTTTTTTCAAATTTTATAGAAACCGCTTTGAGATTAATATCAAAGTTTGATGAATTAGAGTCCATCATCTTGAGATCATCTCGAAATCGTAATAAATCTAAAAAAATGGAAAAATGATGAAATACCTGCATATGAAACGTTTTTCCTTCAACGGTAATCGTGAAAAGGCTATTATTCTCTCCGTCAATGCCGACAACAGCGCCAGTCAGTCGAATTTGTCCTAAACGAGACCTTTTTTCTTCTTCTAATGCTTAGAAAATATGAAAAAGCTTACCTCTTTGCTGCCCTTTGAGCATTTTGTCGCGCGATGTGTAATATAAAAGAGCATCCTTTTCGAGTTTGAACCATCGATATTGCCATCCATGGACCATATTCGTCCATTTCGACAACGGACCCTCCATTTTCTGCAATTTCAACATTGCAAAAACTAAAGTTAAACTAGAGAAAAATAGAGAGAACGGCTGGGGTTTGAGAAAATTGCATAGAAATGCTCGATCAATGACATCCCCCAGTAAGAATCGGAATAATACAGTAGTCCCGAACTTCGTTGCGGGTTTCCAGTGTTTTTTGGCAAAACTGTGAAAAGTTTGGTTTTTTTTTGGGGGATTATCTCTCTCCACCAATTTTCTCTCTGTTTATCGTTTCTGTTGGTGTGCGTTTGAGCAAACACCAAAAATTCCCAGGCAACAGACAAAAATCGAAAAAAAAAGAAATGATGATGAAGAAAATCGAGAAGAACTACGAAATCGATTTTGAGTGGGGTGCGAGATGAAATCAGCGCGAAAAAATTTGCGACCAACTCCACACAAACACGTGGAAACGGGAACACAACACAATCGTACGGGATCGAAGGAAAAGCTGCAGTGGCGACCTGAAGAAGCAGATGGTTGCGGAAGAATGCGAAGAAGAAAAGGAACACGGCCGAATTGGCGATAAAAAAACACACACACCACTCACACACACACAAGACATACCCCCCATCGCACACTCTCGCCTCATACGCTCACACGTACACAACACTCACGAAACGAAACAAACTGAGGGTGAGAGCACTAATACGCGCTCCATCGGCCACAACTAAATATGGAGTTTTGAAATGGATTTTGAGAAATCCGATTAAACATTCACTTTAAATAAATATAATTTATGTGTTTCGAATATGAATATTTAATTGATTGGAAATGGGATACACGCGGCGGCAGAAGGGATTAAATGGAGAACAGAGCATTGCTAGGTTTCGATAATGAACGAGGATATCTATTATTCACCGAAATATGATGATGGTGAATATGAGTATCGTCATGTTATACTACCGAAGGTGAACGCGATGAAGATGTGCATTTGAAAGGGATTCTTGTAGTGTTTTATGGGGAAAATCTCAAAAACCCGGCTGATGAGTGAAGCTGAATGGAGGAGATTAGGCGTTCAGCAGGTTCATTTCACGGGGTTGGCCCAAAATAACTTTGGCAACTTAAAGAGCATTGGTTGGGAGCATTATATGATTCATAATCCGGAGCCACATATTTTATTATTTCGCCGACCACTCAATTTTTCGCTGCAAGATGAGGAATTGGCAAAGGAGAGGTTCTTTTTGGGGTTTGATATTTTTCTGAGATAATTAGCGATTTTTGCAGATTACTCGCTGAAATGACCGCATTTGAAATGAAAAAATGAAATTATTTTATGACGTTCTTGAAAATAAATTGGTTATTCGGCAAAATTTGAGGATTTTTTGAAAATTGCGACATGACGTACCGTATTAAAGGGGCATTGAAAAATTTACAGAGGTCTCAAAGTGTTTTGCTACAGTATTATTTTCTGAAATTTTCAAAAAAATTTCAATTTTTTTCCTTTTTCGTAATTTTGACATTTTTTCCGCAAATTTGAGAATTTCATATCTAGTTATTACGTCTAAATTACCGAGTATTTAAAAATCAGCGTTTCACAAAAATATAACAAAAAATGTGAAAAATTTGATTGCAAAATAACTCTAGCGCGCAATGTGTTTGATTTTTGTTCGAAAGGTGTTTGAAATTGAGTGGCACTGCAGTGTGGCAATAATTATCAGTTCCTCATCAATTAATGACATGTTCTTAAGAATATAATTATTGCTCGATTCACATAATATGATCAGACTTCTTGGTTTTATTTATCTGCACTTTCAATTGTCTACTTCTACCTACTTGTAAATCAAAATAAAACTGTCAAAACTTTTGAAAATAAAAAAAATTATAGTAAACAGAGACGGAGACGAGTATACAAAACAGGAACTGGGCGATCGAATTTGTGTACCACACGTTATTTCGTCGTCGATTATCGACGTTCAGTTCGGCTCGCCATTCTCTTTTTTTCATCAACTGTCGTTGTTTTTGTTGTGCCGTTGTCGCCGGCCGTACACCGTCGTCTTTTCCAAGCCCCACAACGGGAGCCGAGAGGGACCAGAGAGCCAGAATAGAAGAAATTTTTGTTTGGGAAAACCCATGCTATCTTCAATTTTTGTTGTTTATCGCGTTCCCCACGCGTTTTGCCCATTTTTCCAAGTTTTCGTCTCGCCATCGCGTTCACGGTCGCGACATGATCGATTCGAGCCACATTTAATACCCCCCCCCCCAACCTTCATATGATTGTTGTCATTCTCCGATAAGACCATGTGGTTTTTCAGTGCCAATCGACGAGGAGTTTCTGTCGTCTGACGTCAAATTCTTTTACGAGTTCTAATACCAGTGGTAAGTTTTTGTTACTCGTGAAAACAATGGGGTTACAGATCAAATATTGAGGATTCGCTTGCACCGGTCAATTCGAGCAATTGAAAACATTAAGAACGTTATCAATTTCATTTCTGTAAAAAAATGTGCACCTTATTTCCGAAAATTTCGCTTAAGATATTTCAAGATCTCCTCTAATCTCAATTTGTTTCTTGAGAAACCATATAATAAAAAAGGTTCCAATTTTTCTAATTCCCAATCCAAACGTTCACTTGATACCAGAAAAAAGTTTGCGTGCGCTTTGTGCCATCGGTGTTTGCACAACTTTCAAAACCCGAACATTTTTGGATCCCCCCATTCAGCTGCAAGTGTTTTTGGCAGTTTCGTTGGTGTAAATTAAATTTCTTCATCCAATATTCTATTTTCAACTTTCGCGTAGCAATAAAATGCCTCAAATCTATTGTAATCATTGCGCGGATTAAATTTCTATTCAACACTGGTCAAAGGTTTCGAGAAATGAATTCAAGGCCACTAGAATTGTAGGCGGGTTTCAGTGATAATGAACGTCTATTGTAGATCTCTCAATCAGTGCGATCGAACCAACTTTTTAGTTTCGCTTTTGATCAAGCGGAAGTTAATCCTATCCTCTGTTTACTGTAGTCATCAAGATTGAGTTGAGTAATATTAAATTATTACGTAACCTAGATGTGTGGCAATTAAAGTTTCTAATTAATTTGTTTCATTGAATTCCACGCAATGCAGTCAGTTTGCGACCTTTGGGATTGTATGACGTAGGGATTTCTGTTTATTTTTCGGTTCAAACCATCAAAAATGCCAAAATCGTGTGTTAAAATTGCGCAACACTTTTTCATATCGTTTTGCAACCTTGACGCCAATGCTACGAAACTCGATTAATAGATATAAGGTAACACAAATTCAATGAAAAATATAATGAGAATTGCGGACGATTGCACCCATGTGCCCCACATTTTTTTGCGAACAGATAGCTGGTAAATAGAGAGCGACGAAGAGGAAAAGCAGCGTGCGGCTGACTCTCAGTCGACCCATATTGTTTCTCATTTTCCCCTTTCGTTTCTAATTTTTAAATAGAAAAAATTGCGGTTTATTAGATATGTGTGAATGCAGTCAAATAGTAGTTTTGCAGCAAATTTTTTTAGAGGTCATTTATGTGTGACGAAACACGCGATTTTCGTTACTATCAAAATATGTTCGAATGCTATCAAAAAAAAAATATTGAGTTGATAGTAATGTCTCGCCCATTGTAGTCGCGTGGTATTTTCGTTTTAACGGCTAAGCGAACGAAAAATAAGTTTTTTCTTGTTTTCAGTATGCGAGCAGCACGCCTTCTCACCGGAATCACCTCTCAACGGTCCATTCAAACATCTAGAATCATGGCGAGCGGAAAGGTTCGAATTAATTCAATGATTTTGGCAAATCTCAATTTCAGACCCTCACTATCGATAACATCAATCCAAATGTGATCACCATGCAGTATGCGGTCCGTGGTCCAATCGTCATCAGAGCCGTTGAATTGGAGAAGGAGCTCGCCAAGGTTTGTACATTTTCACTCAATAAAAACCAGTTGAATCGAATTTGATTTGATGAGAACTCCGAAAACTGAAAATTATGAAACTCTTCTCACAAATTGAATATTCAGGGAGCTCAGAAGCCATTCCCAAATGTCATCAAGGCTAACATTGGTGACGCTCATGCTATGGGTCAAAAACCGATTACATACATTCGTCAGGTATCATTTCATCTTTGAATCCTGATAAAATTCGTCACCTTTTTAGTTCCTTTCGTGTGTCGCCAATCCGGCACTTTTGGAAGACAAGAGCATGCCGAGTGATGTTGTTCAGAAGGCCAAAGAATTCCTTGCCAACTGCGGTGGACACTCTGCTGGAGCTTACAGTCAAAGTACCGGAGTCGATATTGTTCGCAAGCACGTTGCTGAGTATATTCAAAGACGTGACGGAGGCATCCCATCCAACTATGAGAACATCTGTCTTTCTGGTGGAGCCTCGGAGTCGATTCGCAATGTTCTTAAGTTGTTCATCAACAAAAACAGCACGAGAAAGGTCGGAGTCATGATCCCAATTCCACAGTATCCATTGTATTCGGCCACCATTGAGGAGTTCGGACTGGGACAGGTAATAAAGATGAGATTGGCGTGAAAAAAATTTTAAATTTGAAATTAGGTTGGGTATTATTTGAATGAGTCGAGCAACTGGTCTTTGGATGAAGCTGAGCTCGAGAGATCGTTGGCTGAACATAGCAAGAAGTACGACATTCGTGTTCTCTGCGTTATTAACCCAGGAAATCCAACAGGACAGGTAACAGATCTCATTATTTTTTAAATTATAAAAGTTCAAATTTACCAAAAGAAAATTGTTAAATTTTTTCATAAAAAGCTGAAACAGTTTCTAAATTTTGAATTTTCTTGAGATATTCATATTTTTAGGTTCTTTCCCGCGACAATATTGAGACCATTGTCATGTTCGCTCATAAGCATAAGCTTTTCTTGCTTGCTGATGAAGTCTACCAGGTATTTTACCCACTGGTTTGATTGTTCGACGTTAGAAATATTGCAGGATAACGTCTATGCGCAAGGGTCAGCATTCCACTCGTTCAAGAAGGTTGTTTCGGAAATGGGAGAGCCTTACAACAAGTGGGAATCAGATGATTCTAACTCAAATAGTCGATATGTATTTTCTTTTAGGATTGAGCTCGCTTCATTCCACTCGGTGTCGAAGGGATACATGGGTGAATGTGGAATGCGCGGAGGATACGTTGAATTCATGAATCTCGACCCTGAAGTTTATGTTATGTTCAAGAAGATGATCTCGGCAAAACTTTGTTCCACTGTTCTTGGACAGGTAATATTTTGTTTGAAACAATTACTGCAATTCTTTTTTTTAAAGGCAGTTATCGACACTGTTGTCAACCCACCAAAAGAAGGAGAACCATCTTATGAGCTCTGGAAGAAGGAGAAGGACGCCGTTTTGGCTTCGCTTAAAGAACGCGCCACCCTCGTCGAGAAGGCTTACAGCAGCATCGAGGGAATCAGCTGCAACCCGGTGCAAGGTGCCATGTACGCTTTCCCGTGCGTCGAGATTCCAGCCAAGGCTGTTGAAAAGGCCAGAGTACGCGCTGATTTTTTTTTGATTATTTGCTAAAAATCATCTGCTTGTAGTCCATCAACCAAGAGCCCGACTTCTTCTACGCTATGCAACTTTTGGAGAAAACTGGAGTTTGCATCGTGCCAGGAAGCGGATTCGGACAAAAGGATGGAACTTATCATTTCAGGTAATTATTTAATGAAATAGAAAAAACATTTTCTGGTTGCGCGTAATAGATCACATAATTCGTACCTGTATTATTTTAATTTGTCTGTAAAATATTTCAAGTTCGTCTCGTATTTAAGTGTATTTTTTTCCACCAAACTGATAAGAATTACCGAAATAACATGGACGAAAGTTTACCCTCTCAAAGAACAAACAACAAAAAAATGAGAGGTTCTTTTATCTTGGAATATTCTCGAAAATTGGTAAATAACTGAAACATGTTTCGATTAACCACAACAACGTCGTTAACAAACACCCAATTATCAGTTGTGGAATTTTTCGACCGAAATTTGATTATATCTCGTTTCCCAAACTTCTTGGGAAATGGTTGTTTTGTTTTTTGTTCGTCCTCGAAATTCGTGAAACACAAATTTCGTATTAGCGTTTTTTTTTGGTTTGTTTTGTGGATTCGATATCAAATGTTGAATCATAATTTGCCCTTTACGCTGTGTGTTTTCTTCGCGTATGCGATTTCCAAGAAGTGAGAATTACAATTGTAAGCATAATTAGCGTGTAATGAGAATTCTGATAAGAAAGATGGAATATAGCTCGTCAACACATTGGAGCGTTTATAATTTTGGTGCACTTTTGTTGATCTGGAAAATTTGTTGAACTTTGATTAGGCTTTACAAATCAACTTTTTCAGAACCACAATCCTGCCGCAATCGGAGTTGTTCAAGGACATGCTGAACCGATTTACCAAGTTCCACAACGAGTTCCTTGCTGAATACAAGTAGATCAGAATTTGTGCACATTAAAAAAATAATTGCCTTTAACAACTCACTTTGTTTTCTCTCTCTCTCTCGTGTATTTCTGGATTATATTAATTTGTTTCGTTTCTGTTTTCCCCACCAAAAGTAGGATACAGTTTTAATGTAGCGTAAATTGGATTTGTACAGTATTTCTCAGCTTATTGCACTTTTAATAAAAAACGAATTAGATCGTTTCGTTTTGCAAACAGAAAGGACAAAAAAGGTTTTGTACTTCAAGTTTCAGCAAACAAGATTCTAAAAATGGGGGATGTTTGCTCTTTTTCTCTCGAAATCCCTGTTTCTTTTTGTCTTCTTTCTCTTCTCGTCCTACAGTAATCCCGTAAATGATCGACAGGTGCTCTCGATAATGAGCCGACAGTTCGCAGAAGTATGTGTCGGTGCCGGTTGGCCTGGTCAACCTACCGTAATCCCGATGACGTCACAATGCCAGTGATTTGCCCCCATTTAGAAAATGAATATTGCCAACTGCGGACAATATAGTTTTTTTTCATAAGAAGCAAAATCGAATTCTGTTGGTGACCTCTTAAACTATTTGCTTCATATTGAACCTTATTGTTTTCACATCAGAACCATCTCGCCACTAGCATGCGCAGTACCTGTCGGCACCGCCCGGCGCGCGCCCGCGCCCTCGTCTCGACCCTTTGGGTAACTCTCGCGCGATGGCACCGCGCAATGCTAGTAGGTCAAAAAAAATCAACGCTCATGTGCTGTTTTCGCTGTTTTTGTTGTTGTTGTTGTTTGCATGACACGGAAGTCGGCCAATCAAACAATCAGAAGGCGGTTGGGTTTCGGGTTCGAGTCCCAACCGGTTTCAACTGTGTGTGTGTTTTTTTTTGCGGCGCCGAGATCAACACGCTCCATAGTTCAAAACCGCTCTTCCGAACAAACAACATCGAAAGTGCAATTGTCAACAACAACAACAACAACAGCACGAAATCGAAACCATTCGAAAGTTGCGATAACTCGCAGCGTATGTCTGTGTGTGTGTTTTTTTATCATATGTGTCAGGCCGTTCGGGGTCAGTGTTCGCGCACTCATTCCCCCGCCTCCTCGCGGCTCATCGCACAATCTCGCTTATTATGCAATTGGTGTATGTATGTATTATATGTGTGGTGTGCAGCAATTTTTGGTGGCTGTGTGTGTGTGTGTGTGTTTGGGCACGCCTACCCATCGAACGCCAGTATTTCGCGCGCGTTGTCGCACCTGTTTGACGTCTTCTTCGAACGAACCGTTTTTGTTTTGTTTCATGCTTTCGTTTAGATTTCTCATGCACTTTTCATTTTTCAGCTAATGCAGCCGCCACCTTCGACGTCGAAACCGCTCACCAGCCTTCCAGGCACTGGAATTCAAAGAGAATTGCCGCCCAATTCGGCGCCCTATCAGTTGTTTCAGCCGTTTTATAATGGCTATTTTCCTCCAGCAGAAGCCGCTTTTCCAGCGCTGTAAGTCTTTCACTTTGAGTTTTCACTAGACAAGAGCTCGACAGTGTTAGTTCCTATCTTATTTAATGTTCTTGCGATAATGATAAAACTCCAATTCCAAAAAAAAAACCACCAACAGCAACGAGTGTTATAATTAGGGTTGACGTTGAAATTTACTAATTAACCAATAGTTCTCGATTGTTTTTACTGAACTAGCTGAATTTGATCACATGAACGTATTTTCGAGCGTTTCATTTAAATAGTTGCATGTGACCTCCGATATTAAATTGTTTGTTTGCTATTGATGACAAACCCCACCTGCGGACATCAATTGCCAATTGACACATGTTTATACATACATGGACGACAAAAACCGCTTCATCTGTTTACATGTAGTCTGGTCGTTGTGATTTCGATTATTTTTCGCAATTCGAAGCCTTGTTTTCTTTTTTCAATGGAAACTGGCGATAGCGATCAGGTCAAAATCTCGATAGCACATTTCGAATAATAGGTGTGACGGTGGGAAAAGTGACAAATATTGTCACCTCGACTCAGGTCAGCGAACGCCTCGACGAGTGTTTTGGCACCTTCCGAAAGGCAACGCACCTTGTATATTGATTAGCGTTGTTTGCATTCCAGGAGGGAGAGGGCGGCTCGTTTCTTTTTTGAATTGTAGATCCGAATCAATGAGAATGCACTCTCTTTTGATCTATTATGAGAAAGCGCCAATTCGGCAATGAAATGCTTCTATTTGCAGATTCCCTATCAGCGATCCACAATCGTCGACAAGTCAGCAGCAGATGTTTGCATCCCAAATTCAAGCCCAAGTTTTTTCCATGTACATGCAGCAACATCAGAATTCGCAGCCATCGCGAAGCACAACAACAGCGCCGCATGAAAGCCGTATGATTGTGAAATGCGAGATGGTGGAAGACAGGTATTCTGGATGCATTAATTAATGATTCGATTGGTTTTTTTTTCCAGAGATTCTGGCAATGAATCAGGACTTTCGCCGACACAAACAGATTCGTCGATCATATCATCGCGCTCGCCGTCCAGTTCTTCCAGGTGTGTTATTCGTTTCCTATTTCTTGTACGTTGGGCGACCGATGGATGGTAATTGGACAAAGAAAACTGATAGAAGGCGACGAGTTGGCACATTTTGTTGCGCAGTAGGTGACCGGGTCAGAATTGCGCTGTTGGAACAGAGCGGCTCGCGGAGAGTCGCAGAGTTGTGCGGTGCGCGAGCCTGTTGCGCACTCGTTCGCTCGCCACAATAATTATGCGATCAACTTGACCATTACGCAATATGTTTTGATAGCAACGCGAACGCAAAACGGAAAGGGATTGAGTGAATGATTCGAATTTGCAGAAACAGTACCTATAAGGGATATGCGATACAAAATCTGCTCGGCGGCGAAAAGGAGAACAGCGGAGTTTCGCTCAAGGAATCGCCGGTTAGTTTTGATCCAGAAAATTGAATTCGTGAAAATAATTAGTTGGTTAATCAATTGACCGAAAATTAGTTCGATTAAAAAAAACAGAAGAATGGTTATTCAAAATCCATCAGATTGTGTTTGACACCGAAATGCGCAATATATTTGCTGTTATTGGGTACCATATTTTTTATAACTTTAAAATTGCGTAACCTCGACGAAAGTATACTTGACGAGATTCAAGGAATGAGACTCACTCAAAAAATATTAACAAAAATTATTAGATACGCATTTTTTGAATATAATTTCTATTATTTCTCTCAGCGTGACCTTTGATTCATTATTGCAGAATACCGATAAAAACAGTTCGATTGATTCTGACTCGATGTCAGACGCCGAAAAGTCGACGATGTTCACACCGAAAATGCGCAAGTTGTCGCCGTTCGCGAAAACCGCCCGCGATTCGCCATATCAGATTATGAATCAGCCGGTAAATTCGGAATCCCTAACCGAATACGAATATCGTTTTTTTTGCTCAGGTGCTCTCGACGCATTATGGATTCTCGCCGACAATCCAGCCGACATTTTTTCCGCCGTTTTCCGCGTTTCCATCGCCGATCGGAACCGGAATGAAGCTAGCGAGTGAGCCGGAAGTGATGCGAATCGGAGGGCGAGAAATGTGCGTGGTGTGCGGCGACAACGCCAGCGGCTATCACTACGGTGTGATGAGCTGCGAGGGATGCAAAGGCTTCTTCAGAAGAACTGTCCAAAAGAAAATGGCCTACATTTGCCATCGCAACAATGATTGCAAGGTAGATCAGTCTCACAATGAGTGGTGGCTTCTTCAATGTTAATTGAATTTGCAGGTTGATCGAATTTCGCGAAATCGCTGCCAATTCTGCCGATTCCAAAAATGCGTGCGAATGGGAATGAACAAGGAGCAAGTCAGAATTCAAGACAGGAAAGCGCCCTCGATCGAAGCGTTGAGATATGAGGAGAATGCTGAGGAGTATCAGATCGCTGAAGTGCAGTTCGCGTTCCTTTCCGCTTTTCCACAAGAGAATTACATCACCGACGAGAAGGTAGTGTGAGCTATTAATTGAAACACGAATGAGACATTTTCAGGCGGCCAAACAAACTGTCAAGGATTTTGTGTCGAAGATGAAATGCTTCGAAGTGTACCGGACTTCTGATGGGTTTGAAGAGAAGATTGAAAGTGTCACTGACAAGGTGATGCTCCTCCGAGCCGCCTACTCCCTCGACCCCGTCACCTACTTGAATCCGTCGCCAACATCATTAACCGAACTGCGGGATGGCATTCGGAACACGGTTCTCAATCCAGACGAGCTCGCACTTCTCTCGTCGATTCTAGTCGCCTACGAATTTACCGGAAAATCGAAAGAAGATCAAGTGATTCAAAAGTTGTTCCGCTGCTTGCGAATCGTTTTGAGTCGCGCGAAAGCCTCGAACGGCGAGCCGCAAGTATTCGAGAAACTCGTCCAAAAGCTCGACACACTGTTTTAATCATTGATCAAAGTTCATAATTATCATCATAATAAGTGTAGATCTCATAAGCTGTTTCGCCGCTCAAATTCGCCCGATTCCAATTTTTTAAAATCATCAATTGATCTCGAAATGTTTCAAACCAAATGCTTTTAAAACTCTCCGATGTTCCTACGAGTTGTTTGTTTTTTGAAATTGAGGTGCGGCCGTTGTTGGGCTCCGCCGGTATTCTTTCGGAATCCTCATATCTCTGTCTCTAATTTGTTTCGAATTCTTGTTCTCATCATTCAAATAAATATTGATGTGCCCGATGATTGTCGCAGTTGGTCCTTGATCAATCTATTTGGATTTGCTTTGAAGCTTCATCCGGAATTGTGTGTTACCTGCAAATGACTAGAAGATAAAATTTTAAGAATCAAATCAATTTAAGAGAGTGGATTGAAGAAATTGTCGAGTGAAGAATGATCAGGAATAGCAATCAAGCATCATTTTCGAGTTTTCCACTTGAGGATTTCTCCCAATCGTTTACACAACATTTTTCGGATTGTTTCATTAAAAAAGGCTATATTTTGAATTGAAATCCGAAGGCGCTAATAATTATCAATTGAAAGTGAAGAAGAAGAAGTAATTAGTTCGTTAACGAAATCCAAACTAATTAACTTTTACTTTGAAACAACGATGTTACAGTTCAAGATTTTATATCAAATGCCCAATTTAAGCGCTATCCTATTTCGACAACTGACTTATACTCCGTTTGTGATATTTTCGAGGTTGGAAAATTTTTGATGTTCGATTATGTAGGATTTGGATGATTTTGAAGTGACGTTCTTTTTATGATACTTAAAAGAAAATAATTTCCGAAGTATAAAAAAGCGTCCTTTAACCTAGCTTTATGCATCCCTCCTTAAATCTACACCTATAGTTTTGCGCGAAGACCACTGTCATTTTGTTATTGGCATTTAGCCTGCAGTCGCGCGAAGCCGACAATAGCAAGGATCCAAATTGTTCCAGATGTCAGATATTTGCGGGATGGTCGATTTTTACGAACTGTCCTTTAAATCTTGAACTTTTATTTTTCAATATGTATTGTCGTGGACGGAGTAATTCGAGAATTTTGAATTTCACGGGTTGTCATTTAATTGGTCCCGCAATACAAAATCGGCTTATACTCCGCCATTCGGCACTTGTTCTGATAACCAAAGTACTTAAAATAAATTAAAAAATATGCTCTTTCATATTTTGATAGTTAAAGAGGGCTGTATAATACTTTATGATACTTGACTCGTATTCACAAGCTAATGTTCTTCTTATTTATCAAAACTCTTTGTAGGTAATTAATATCTCTGATGATAATCTTCTGATCGAAGATATTGTCACCATTAACCCTGTGTACAAATATAGACTTGTCAAATAAAACAGACTTCTTCATACTAACATATTATAAATTATTAACATAGCAAAAAAAAACGAGCGTCTTGAATAATAGTGGACCATCGCACTATTTCGAGGCGGTAATTCAAAACAGTGGTGATTCGGCTATCATACTTTGGATAACCTGCAAATCAAACTGGCAGTAAATCGGCGCGCAGGGCGAATTGACGAATTGTCTGGTCACTTCCATTACTGGTTCGAAAACCGTTCTATTGAGACGAATTCATAATAAAAGGGTATGCGAAACAATGGCAAATTTTTTCGAGGTCAAAATAAGTGAGGAAGTAATAGTCTGAAATTATGCAGAAGTTTCGTGGTGGTCGATGAACACCAAACGAGTTGTTTCGCTAACATTCGTCGTCTGCGCGTGGAATTTCAGAATAATTGCGCGCAAATTCCATTGTCTGCGCGGTTTTCTCGCTTCATTTTCAGTGAGCAATAAAAATAGCGCTGTTCTCGTTTGCTACTCGAAAAAATTTAATTCTTATCGTTTTTTTTATGCGTTGAGAAGCTGAATGCTAAACACGTATTCTTCCATGTGTAATCCATTTTTACACAAAAACGTTTATAAGCGAAAATGGTTTCGGTCGATGGTGGATTTGATGTCGTTTCGCATGCCGATTCCCCTGTTTTGTGTGAATTTTGTTTAAAATTAATAATTTTTGTGTTGAACAGAACACTTGCGGGATTAAAACGGATTTTGACTCGAAATTTGTTTCCCTCGATCAATTGTCATTTCTCTTCCCTTCGTCCACCACCGTCAGAATTATGCTAATGATGAAGCACTGTCGCTGCAACGCCCGCGACCACGAACAATACATTCTTTTGACGTTTTTTGTTTTGTTTATACGTACTACGTCACAAGAAACAACAATATATTCATGTCGGCTTTTCATTTTCATTTTTTGCAAGTTTTTCCAATGTCGCATCGTGACCTTTTGGAGCCTTTAAATAATTTTCTCTCCACAGGTAACAGTTTTCAGCGAGGGTTGCAGTGCAAAATTTTTCTCTTTCTTGAAACATCTGCTGATCCTGTTAAAAAATACTTTTGATTAGCGATACCAGATGAAAAATCGTGTTTTTAGTCGTTTTTCAAGGAATTTACTTCTTTATCTGACCAAAAATCGTTTTAATTATGTCCTCCTTGTAATTTCTCGATAGCTGAAATGAATGTACAAAAATTCTTTGAAAAAAACAGTATAATTGCGAGAATGTAAAAAATGGGAAGTATGAAAGGTACTGTGGAATTTCGTTGCAAGACACAAAACTAATTTCTTCACGTCCCTTGAAAAAAACCACCGTATCATTTTTTTTATAATTCATTTTTTGCCGCGTTTTATCATTTTTTTGTCACTTTTCGCCATGACCACATTCTTTTACGTTGTTTTGTTGACTTCTTGAACCCGATCTTCTTGCCAGACTCTGATCTTACAACGATCGTCACAAATCTGTCGTAATTTACCGTTGTTTAGAAGTTTGATCGCCGAAAAATTTTATCAAAAGCGAAACAAAGTGAACCGAACGATTTTTGTATTATTGAATCAGCGATTAACATTAGTATTGCAACAAAAACGCGAAATTTTGTTGATTTTATTCAAAAAAATGATTTCATCAATTGATATCATGTGCGAACATTCGCTGAACTTTCAGTACCAATTTGCCGATTTCTGAATCATATTCCATACTTGAATTTTATTTTTGTTCTCTTCGCTCAAATATTAAATTGTAGGAAACCGAAAAAATTTCGAAATAAACGCAAAACGCCGATTTCCTTTTAGAAAAGCTTAGAAAAATGCTTCGGATTCAAACATGAAAAGGAAAAGAGCCATAAAATGGCGTCATGATTTTTTTTCTGGAATTTAAGTTCAGTTGTTTTTCGCTAATTAAATAACGTGTTACATTCGTTGTTTTGCCGAAAATGGCACGAAATTTGACGAACCTTGAGATGGTAGCAAAATTGAGACCTCTCCAGTTGGTATTACTATCAAAGGAGGGGCTGGTGTCAATCTCAAGGGCACACATAAAAATATACACGAAAAGAGAAGATCGCAATCGTACTTTCAATTACTTTTTGTGCGCAATTGCTTCCGCTACGTCTGTCGTCGCCGTTGGCGTCGAGATTTTCGCTATCAAGAGAATCGGGTGTTATGTCATCGAAAATGTTTCGACTTTTCATGCCATTTCGAATTGCATATTAAAACGTTTTATGGTTGTTTTGCGATGTCAAATCAAAAGGCAACTAAGGAAGTGGCGTTTTTTTGGTATTGCACCGTATTTTGTCCAATCATTCTACCTGAATGTTGATGAAAAATGAATGAATAGTGGGTCTGTGGTAAATCAGTGTTTTTATCCACTGTTCATCCATGGCTCATCAATTTTTGATCTGTTTTTTTCGTCTAATATTCAAATGTGGACGAAAATGAACGAACTCTTCATTTAATCATTCTAACCACTACAATCCCGAGTAATTTTAGGATTTTCGAAGATATTCTAGGTTCTCAACAATCATGCCATGCTATCTATGCAGAATCTAAGAATTACTTTTTTCAGCTTCTCAATTTAAGCTTGAGTTTGTCGCGAGCCCAAAGCAAGTATTGGTTGAAGGCAAATGATTAAAAATATCATTGCTGATGTTTGACCAGCCTTCGAATGTTGACCTTGCTTATAGGGCGCACAATCGAGAGAAGGGTGCAAAACTACGTGGCCGGGTGGACGTGGTTGTAAAAATAGTTAGTCCATAAAACCATTTGACGTGGAATGAACGAATAAATAACAATTTGACCGTACACGCGAAAAGATATTATAAGTTTAAAAATCAGTTGTGCGTCGAGATCCAAAAATTGAATAGGCTTAATTTTACCGAGGAATCCTACAAGTATATCGTTCTGAACACAATTAACGTTAAAAAAAGGTTGTTGTTTCATCTGAATATTTCAAATTTAGTCTTAATTGAAAAAAACTTCATTGTGATTACTCGGAAAAGTTCCACACTTGAAATCATAATTCAATATTCCATTGCACTTTTGATTGTTTTTCCTGGCTCCGTATTTCCGTAACGTTTTCTAGAGGATCCTTCTTCTCAACCAAAACATTCATACACATATATAGAAATTCTAATAATTTTCAAAACGCCATAACAATTGGTTGCCAAACATTGAGTCACGGTTATTGCTGACCAATCGATGCTTCCCGTTTCCTTTATTTCGTTCTGTTTTTTTTGCAAAAAAAAAACACTGAAAATATTTGGTTTTTTGCTGCCTCGAGAAATGCATCGCTTAAATCGTCATTTGGTGATGGGAAAATGCAGAATTTCTTATACGTTTCGCTTTTTGTTTTCGCCGCGTGGGTGGCGGCTCAAATATTGCCAATTTCAATGTTTTTCCCATAAAATTTGTTTTATAGACCGCCGATCGACGTCATACAGTTTTTCATGTGTTGCGGGTAGATCAAATATCTCAAAGTGCTTCCGGGTGAGACTTTTATTGTTCGTTGTCGCACAATTTACGAGATGTAATGCAATGTGATAAAGCATGCCAAACAGACAGCCAGAGCTGTTCAACTGCCTTTCTAGATTTCCCGTTTGATCATTG